AGAACTGCAAGCCAAAACCACAAGGGAACTACTTCACAAGTACTGTGACGACTAGGAAAAAACAGAGACAGGTGCAGGTGCGGGCAAGGGGGGGGGGCGGGGCGGGGGGGCCTGCACGTTGTGACTAAAAATGGAAAAGAATCTGGTGCTTCCTCAAAAAGCCAGGGTTACTATATAACTCACCTTCCTTCCTCTTCTGGGTACACCCAATAGGTACGGAACACACACTTACATAAGACCTTACGTAGCGGATTCCCCAATTCCCTTTATCCAACTTCATTTTCTGTGGTCATTCATGGTCAACTACAGTCCAAAATTGTTTTGTTAAATGAAAAATGCCAGAAATAAATGATTCACAAGTTTAAAACTGCACACCACTGAGTGCCATGATCTCCCCAGCTGCCCCACTGTGCCCTCCTGGAACATGAGTCGGTCTCTTGTCCAGCTTACCTGCACAATATACTCAGCACTTAGTACTCTGCTAGTCATTAGTGGCCATCTTGGCTGCCACAGTATTGAGATGCATGTGTTTAAGTAACTTTTACTCGAATTTAGAACAGTCTGAACATAAGGGAATTCAGATATGTCCAAGACACATCTTAAAGTGTCTCCATAAGAGAAAAGATAAAAAGTTTCCAATTTGGGGCTGGAAAGATGGCTTAGAGGTTAAGAGTGCTGGCCGCTTTTCCAGACATCCTGAGTTCAATTCCTAGCAACCACATGGTAGCTCACAACCATCTATAATGGGATCTCATGTCCTCTTCAGACATGTAGATAGAACACTGTATACATAATAAATAAAACTTAAAAAGAGAAAATGTTTTTAATTTAATAGAAAAATAAATTAAATAGTTAAGATCTACAGTAAAAATGAATCTTCTATCCAGGGAATTGTGAAGAAGAAATTCCCGCTAGATTTTCTGTGATACTACAAACTGAAAAAGTTAATATATAAGTACTCAGGATAGAAAAGACATTGGATTTGTATATATGTATGCAGGAAAGAATATAGGTGGGGCTCAGGTTGGCCTTGGGGTCAGCCGTCTCCTGGAGCCCTTCCAATGTATTCATCATCTCAGATAAGGGGATGGTGAATGGAGAAACACTATATGGTGCGGCAGTCCTTCCTTAGCCATGGAGGGCGTGCTCTAAAACTCATAGATGCCCAAAACTATACAGTTCATATACTCGATCCTTTCCTATAAATGCATACTCATGATAAAGTCTAATCTAAAATAAGGCAGAGTCAAACATTAATATTCTAAAACAAAATTGTTAAAATGTTGTAATAAAAATTATGTACTGTGGTCTCTCAAATTATCTTTTACTTTTACCTTGCAGGAAATACTTCCAGGAAGCACTCGTTGCTTATCTGAATTGCCAGCATCATGACTCAGGTGCTCTGGGCTATTACCACAAAATATCAGTTACTGGGACACAGCACTGTAACGCTGGAACCCTTGATCGGACAACTGAGATGGCTTCTATTAAGTGATGCATGTATAGTGTGCATATGCCAGACAAAGAGCTAAATCCCGTGAAAGAGTTCGCCACACTGCTCAGAATGGCACGTTTAAAACCGACGGATTGGTTACTTCTGGAATTTTCCATTTAACATTTTCAAACCATGGTTGCCAGGAGGAAACAGAAACCATGGAATTCAAACTCAGATTAAAAAGGGATTTCTGAATGTATATCCAAAGAATATGTTAGTCTTAAAAGGTCTAAAAGATTAATGCCACATGAATGGACCCTGAATGAAATTAAGTGCTATATGTTATATGAACCACTCTTAAGGAACACTGAAAACAAGCAAACTCCCAGAGGCAGAGAGTGAGGCAGTGAGAGCCTAGGGACAGACAGTCACTGCACTAGATACAGGGCTGTGCTGTGGGCGGTGAGGGCCCTGGAATTAACACAGCAGTGCTCACTTCACAACTTTGTGGATCTACTGAAAACTATTGAATTATATACTTACAGTGAGTTTTGTAGTACGTGAATTATATTTCAATATAAAAGCAACTCTCCCTAAACAAAAAGAAAACAACAGTAACAACCACAACAATGCCAAGTATGTAGGCATCTACTGTAATTGCAGTATTCAGGAGGAAGAGACAGGAGAATCACAAGTTCAAGGCCACCCTGGGACAAATCTTATGCCAATATGTCTATATAGTGAAAGCCTGTCTTAACAAAGTAAAATTAAGTAGTCCACGCCATAGCCAAATAGGGTTCCCTGGGTCCATCCACCTCATCCAATGTCAGCACACAAGAGACAGATGTATCTGGGACAAGCCCCAGGCAGATACTGGCTAAGACAGAGATTCCCTAGAGAGTCCCTGCCTGCAGAAAAAAAAAACCAACAGTGCTCCTAGACCACATTGGTTCACAGTTAAATTTAAATGAAGAGCTAGCCCAGAGGGTCTCAGCTGGGTGATTTTGCCCCCTCCCCACCAGGAGAAGACAGGCATTGTCTCCTCTAGAGAAAAGAATTTTAGTGGATGGACAGGGAAGGAAAGTGACAGAAGGATGTGGTTAGAGCCAAGGATGCTGCTAAGCAGTGCCCCTCACAGTTCAGAACAATAACAGTGCAATGGCTGAGAAACCTATCTTAATCTAGTGACAGGTTAATTACTTTTAAAATCATCAGGTTTATATAACCTATGTACACGTTTGATATCAATGTCAAATATGTCCAAACAGCTCTGAGTCTATCCTTCAAACCAAAATCACAGAACTGCTGCAGGAAAGTCTAACAAGAGCATTCCAGGCCTCTCCTTGCTCAGACTTGGGCAAACCTGCAGCAGCGGAGAAAATCTCCCCAAATACAGCCTCAAGCAACAGATTATACTTTCAAAGAGATGGTTTTTGGGTTTTGTTCTTCAGTGGAAAATGGAAGTTTTGTGAAGTTTATTTGACAGGCTCACACAGGGAATGAGAATTTGTTTCTCACTAGAGGAAATGTAAAAAGATATTCACAAGAGGAAGTGGTATACAGACACATTCTAACATTTACAGTCCCTTCTAGCTTAGTGGCAGAAGGCTGGTCACATCACCAAATTCCAAATCTCCAGGCTCTATATAGTACTCCAAAAAAGACACTCTGCAATTTCAAGAAAGATTTATTTTTTAAAGAAGGTACTTCCTATAAGCCAAGACCATCTTCATTCATTACTTAAGGGGAAGATAATTAAATAGTAGATATATGTTATCAAAAAACCTCTCAAAGAAAACTGTTCCGTGTAGTTCTTCATAGACAACTAGATCAATGGGACCCCTTTTCTTATAGAACTAGAACCCCAGTTTATATACTGTTTTATAACCTGTTCCTTTGTGGGGTCTTTTTGGGGGGTGGGTTGTTGAGATAGAGTCTCACTGTATATGTAGCCTTGGCTGGATTGAAGCTTGCTGTGTAGACCAGGCTGGCCTTGAACTCACAGAGATGCATCTGCTGCAGGCTCTCAAGTGCTGGGATTAAAGGCGTGCGCCAGCAACGCACGAATTTTTTTTTTTTGTAAAGAAACTTCTCACTATTCTCTGTATTGTCTTCAGTATCTTGCTCAGAGTCTTGAAATGACTACTTTTATTCACATATCCTTTCACAGTTGTCTTAACTTTCCTTAGAATAAATTCTCAGGGGTGCCGGGTATTGGTGGCGCACGCCTTCAATCCCAGCACTCAGGAGGTAGAGGCAGGCAGATCTCTGTGAGTTCAAGGTCAGCCTGGTCTACAGAGCAAGTTCCAGGACAGCCTCCAAAACAATATATAGAAACCCTGTCTCGAAAAACCAAATAAATAAATAAATAAAAATCTCAGGGGCTGGAGAGATAGCTCAGGGTTTAGCACTGCCCACTCTTCCAGAGGTCCTGAGTTCAATTCCCAGGAACCAATAATGGCTCACAACCATTTGTAATAAGATCTGGTAGCCGGGCGGTGGTGGCGCACGCCTTTAGTCCCAGCACTCGGGAGGCAGAGGCAGGCGAATCTCTGTGAGTTCGAGGCCGGCTGGACTGACAGCCTCCAAAACAATACAGAGAAACCCTGTCTCGAAAAACCAAAAAAAAAAAAAAAAAGATCTGGTGCCCTCTTCTGGCCTGCAGGGGATACATGCAGGCAGAACACTGTATACATAATAAATAAATAAATCTTAAAAAAAAAAAGAAGAAATTCTCAGAAGTAAACTACCAGCGGCTTTTGATATCTGGCTTCACTCCGCAACGACCACTCTTAAGGTCTGACAACTTGGTTATTTTTACTTTTTACTGTCTTTTGAGACAGTCTTGCCATGCAGCCCTGAGCACCACAAACTGACAACTCTCTGACTAGCAAGACTCACCCAGGCACCAGGAGCACATCACCCTCTGCCCAGAGTGGGGGCAGAGCCCCTCTATGATGCAGCTTCCATACACGGGCAGTAGGGATATCACCATGAGCCCCACAATGGCAATTCATTGATTACGAATAACTAATTCCAAGCTAGAGAGATGGTTCAGCAGCTAACAGAGCAAACTGCATTTATAGAGGACCCAAATTCACTTTCCCGGGTGACTCACAACCTCCTGTAACTCAAGCTCCAAGGGCCCCAACATCCTCTCTGGTTTACATGGTGTTTACACTGACATGTACACACCCCACACAAATGTACAATACTGAAAATAAGATAAGATCATCTTGGAATCAAAGAATGACTAATTCCCTCATTGGCACTGAGTCTGAGCCAACACTGCAACGGTATGACTTCTTCCTCGTCCATCCTCACCCACTAGGAGGGAAATCTATCTTAAAAATCAAGAGATATTTTTGCAGAACAAAATGCCTTTGTAGTAGAAGAAAATATGTGGCCAGTCTGATTTAACATAAACCCACCAGCAACCACGATCGGCTCTGCCTGACCCCATTCCTCTATCTTCTGACTGCTTCCCCTCAAAGCTGAGGTCTATGTCTTGAACGTTGGTAGCTAGGGTTGACAGGCAAAGCTAAGGACCCCAGAGGGAACTTACGTAGAAGTGGAAATGTAAGAAGAGGGCCAAAGCTCGGGGAGCCACATCGGGGAAGGTGGTCAGGAGAGTCTGGAGGTACACCTCCAGGTCCTTCTCCCTCTTCTCTACCAAGCTTCTGGAGTTCTTTCCGATTATCTTTTTGGGTGGAAGTAGAGTTTTGTCAATTTTTCTCTCTGCAACAAGCTGTAAGAAAACACAAGCACATCACCCACAGACCAAGAAGCTCTGTATCAGTGTAAGACCCAGGCTGTCAATCACATCCTCTGCAGCTACTCTGCATCTGTGTGTAAGACCCAGGCTGTCAATCACATCCTCTGCAGCCACTCTGTATCTGTGTAAGACCCAGGCTGTCAATCACATCCTCTACAGCCACTCTGTATCTGTGTAAGACCCAGGCTGTCAATCACATCCTCTACAGCCACTCTGTATCTGTGTAAAACCCAGGCTGTCAATCGCATCCTCTGCAGCCAATGTTGGCAGCAGTACCAGGATTAGTGCTCCAGCTAATTCACCTGGGATGTGGCCTTTTCAAATCCAAATCATACTGGAAATACTAATATAATTCCAAGTGAGAAATTCCACCTTTAGTCTTTGAGGACATTGAGAAAAAATAGTGCTTATGGCCCCCTGAAGTTCAAAAAGCAAAGGAGTCTGTGTTGTATCTTTAAGATACTCTCACTGTAAACAGCCCACAGAAAAGCAGCTCTTTCTAAAAGCAAAGGAAAAATATAACCTCAATTTGTTAGTAAAGAATAAAAATATATTTTGTGGAACAAGTTCAAACCTGTGCTCTCCTCAGGAATGTGGCAGTTTTAAAATAAAATTTAAATATACTACTCTAGATGGTCTCATAACCAGGGATGAATTCCTAAGGACCAACCGTTTCTTCTGCCAGATGCATTAAGGAACTGTTCTACTAGACTGCAAAGCCATGAGATGGCTCATCTGGTAAGGGTGCTTGCTGCCGAGTCTGATGTGCTGAGGTCAACCCCTGTGGTCTATGTGGTGGAAGGAGGACCAGCTCTCACAAACTGTCCTTTACCTCTACACATGGGCTGTGGCCTGTGTGCATCCCCTCCGACCTCAATATAGGACAGGGTTTCTCCGTGTCACAGCCCTGGCTGTCCTGGAATTCACTTTGTTTTGTTTTGTGTTTTTTTTGTTTGTTTGTTTGCTTGTTTTGGGGCTGGAGAGATGGCTCAGCGTTGTTTTGGTTTTTCTTTTTTTTTTTTTTTTTGGTTTTTCGAGACAGGGTTTCTCTGTGGCTTTGGAGGCTGTCCTGGAACTTGCTTGGTAGTCCAGGCTGGTCTTGAACTCACAGAGATCCGCCTGCCTCTGCCTCCCAAGTGCTGGGATTAAAGGCGTGCGCCACCAACGCCCGGCTGTTTTGGTTTTTCAAGACAGGGTTTCTCTGTATTGCTTTGGAGGCTGTCCTGGAACTCACTCTGTAGACCAGGCTGGTATTAAAGACATGCATCACTATGACTGGCCATAAATAAATTCTTAAAAAACTAGCACACAATAGGTGTGGAGATGGTTATACCCTAAAATTAATGTGTGGCACAATGGAGACATGCTCCTCGAGCCCTTCAGCCCTGAGATACAGGTTTGCAACTTTTAAGATTACCTTTTCGTGTAGGTCATGAAAGTCGCTGTAACGGTGCTTGACTGTCCACTCATGGTTGCCGTCAGTAACCTGTATGATATAAACCTAAAAGGAAAAAGGATTCCTTGTGGCAAGAGAAACCTGCTCCCATAATAGCGGCGAAGTATTCAGACGCCACTCCCTAAAATCCAGAGTCAGGTACCCTTCCACATCCAATGTGCACCTGACCCCTCTTGAGCAGTGGTGGCCCAACCTTTCTTCAGCCTCCCCCACAAGCCCTGTGAGGTCTGGAGTTAAGCCGTGCTTCAATAATTGGGAAGGAATGGAAATGTGACTAGCTCAACACACCTCCTTAAGATTTTTACATCCTGCCTCCACATTAATTCAAAACTCAACCTGAGTTGCAGGCAAGGCTGCCCCTTCTGAGGGAGGCAGAGCAGAGCCCAGTTTAGCAGGACCAATGAATGCCTCTGCTACACATCTCAGGTAGCCTGACTCCATCCTTGAAGCAGGTCTTCAGCCAACATTTTCCACTAACTGTGGTTTTGAATTCTACTGCTGATCCGGGAGTCAAGGCACCATGCTCCCGGGAGCAGCAGCGGTTCAATCAGGTTTAACAGAAGCCAATATGGTTTTGCCGGTTAAGAAAACCTGGGTTCAAAAATCTGGCTATCCCATTTCCTGGGCGTGGCTTACGTGCCGCTTATGTAAGTGACTAGGAGCCTTAAGTTTTCTCTAGGCTTCAATTCCTCCATCTTAAAACCCGGTAGGTTTAAGGATCACGTAAAGCAGTGAGTATGAAATGATTTGTGCAGGCCTAACAACTAACAAAAGGCAGGTGTGTTAATAACATCCAACGCAGCACACCCAGGGGCAAATGCTAGTCAGCTTGGATCACCACCTTGCTCCCTGATACTAACTAGGTAGGACAAAGCCCCCCCAACAGGAAGAGCTTTCTGGAGATGAACCTCTCCTGACTGCAGCTAACCTAGTTGTAGCTGAGTGACCTCATCTCTTAACTCCACCAGCAAGCTCCGTGGTCCTAGCTTCCCCTCCTCCGTCTGAGTATCAGGGAAGGGCGAGTGGAAACAGCCAACCAGGCTGATTCCTCTGACCCCCCCAGAGGCAGCCATTTCTCCTGCACCAGCCTGTTGCTCCAGGAGCCACCGTGACAGTTCCCTTTCCTTGCCAGGGGGAAGAGAGACCTAGAGGACCAGCCCTCAGGATCTGGTATTGAGGATGGGGAGCCAATGGGGTGAGGCAAAGGCAGGGCCAAGGCCCTTACCACGTCCACCCTCCTGGGAACAAAGGACAAGGAGACAGGGAGCTATTCTCCGAGCCCCCACCACAAAAACAAGTTCCCGCCTGGCAGCCTGGCATCCGACCCCATCCAGACCCAAGGGGGCGTCTAACAACCATTACTACCTTCCTTTTATGTAGGGGGTTTATGTAGGGACCCCCCCTGGTAGCCTACAAGGACAGGCCCCTCGCCCGTGAGGTCCCCAAAGGTTTCTAAGTCCAGTTCCTCAGCCCTTGAAGTAGCTTGTCTTTTCCCAACGACTGGGGTCCAATTCTTCCCCACCAGACCCCCTCAGGGCCCATTTTCCCACATCCCTCCCTCCCTCTGCAGGGCTGGCGTGGGTGGGGGTGGAGACCAAGGGCCGCCCCCCTCTCCCCCTCCACCTGAGGATCCCCCAAAGCCCTTCTCTTTGGCTCCCTCCCTCCCAGTCTCCCCAGCAAGGTCTCTCAGGCCGGCGTCCCTCCCTGCCTGCCTGGAGGACCTAGAGGGGCTCCCCATCTCATCATCTACACATCCTTCCCCGACCCCCGGCCGGGGTCCTTCCCCGAACGACCCCCTCCCGCCCCCGACGCCTCCACCCCGACTCTCCTTTCCCCTCCCCCGCCCCCACCCCCTCCACGCGCCCCGCCCTAGAGCCTCCCCCGGGGACCCCGGGGCAGCCAGGCCCTTCCTCCCTCTGGGAAGCCCATGTCCAGGGCTCCCCCGCCGCTGTCGCAGCACCTTCGGCCCCCCACTCAGGGGATCGCGCGACCCCGACCCCTCCTCCTCCTCCTCCTCGAGCCCCCCGGCCCGGGCTCCGGGCGGTACGCGCTACGCCCGCCCGCCGGCCCGCGGCGGGAGCCCGCGTCCCTCCCCACCCCCCTCCACCACCCGCGAAGCCCAGCACACCGTGTACGTGTCCACGAGCTCCGAGCCCACGACGCGCGCCTCCTTGGCCGGCTCGGCCTCCCGCTCGGGCCCGAAGCTGAGCGCCGCAGACGCAGACGCCGCAGACGCCGCCATGTTGCGGGCTCCGCCGCTGCCGACGCCCGGCGCAGACTGGCAGCAGCAGGGGGGCGGGGTCAGCGTCCCGCCGCCGCCCCCCGGCCCCCGCCGCCCCCCGCCCGCGCCCGCGCCGCCATCTTGGCGCCGCACCCCCCTCCCCTCCCTCCGCGCGCGCGCCCTCGCCCCGCCCCTCGCCCCGCCCTGACAAGCCCGCCGCTGGCGCACGCACGCGCACGCGCAGCTCCCGCGGGCTCGCCCCCGTCCGTCCGCCTCGGCTTAGACCCGCTGTAGTAGCTTCTGGGGAGTTGCGGTGGTTGGCTCTCACACCGCGCTGGGCCCTCAGGGACTCAGTCCTCCCATCGCGAGGGTCTCGCCGCGCGGCAGCTAGGCTGTAGGCCCCGCGTGCAGCCAGGGAAGGATGGAGGAGATGAGAGCCGGACTTGGAGGCGGGGCAAGGGACCCAGAGTGACTCCCATGTTTGTTGTCGCCTGGAGTGATGGGGGAGTTGAGCGGGGTGACTGTGCGCGGCTCCGCACATGCCCCCCCTCCCGCTCTGTGTGTGTGTGTGTGTGTCTGCAAACTGATGTGTTCAGGGCGTGAAGCAGACACGCAGGTCGGGGCAAGGGATAACGGTCTGCTTCCCCAAATGACATCCTGCACGAGCTCAAATGGTCAAACGGAGGGGGACCACAGGCTGGACCCTCCCTCCCGCCCCGAACACAAAAGCGTGGGAAGCATCATTAGCCCTGGGAGCGACCTAGCTGGAGAAGAGGTGACCCAAATGGAGCCCTGGTATAGACAGGGTTCTTTGAGGGTTACTTGTTGAACCACACAGACGACTAACTCAAGTCCAAAGTGGACATCGAGAGCTAGAAGGTTGGGGTGTGGCAGAGCTGGCTGAAGGACTCCAGGCCAGCCTGTCCTAGGGGGGGCCAGTGACTCCCCCCCACACCAGTCTCAGGTTATACTCTGGACCTCACCTAGGAGGCTTTTCTTGACAGGGCTTACGCTGCTTGTATGTTACCCCTCCAGAGAGGTGTAATGTAAGGCAGCCTGGTCTTAGGTCAGTCGCTGTAGCTGCCGCTGCCCTCAGTTTGAAAGCCTCCTGTTTCCTTACCTAGAAAACGGGGGTGTTATCACCCACCTCTCTGATTGCATAGAAGATTGAACTGTTTTTAGGGACCTGGCTGGCCTGGAGCCCACTGATGCACATTTCCTGTCTGGGCCTGGACTCCCCCATGTTTTCATTCATTCAGGAGGCTTTTCCTGGGGCTGTGGGGACGGCATCTATGTGCTATGTGGTGCGTTTAGGCGCTTGCTGTCAAGCCTGAGGACTTGGGTTCAGTCGGGATATCTACGCAGTCGAGGGAGATAGACGGACCCCTGCAAGTTACCCTCTGACCTCCACGTGCACACATAAATATAATAAATTTGTGTTGTTGTTGTTTTCCTGAGAATTCCCTGCGGGGTATGGGGAACAGGTGCCGGGAGACCTGGTCCTTGCGGTCCCTCAGAGTTCCTGGCCCAGGCAGAGGATACAGGGCCTCTAGCCAGCCTGAGATTACAGGGACCAGGGGAGGGGGTGGAGGATGTTGCAGGCAGTGGTGGGCTGGACTGGGAGGGAGGCAGGGCTATTTAAGCCCAGGCTGAGGGCTGGCTGGCTGGCAACCCCAGTAGCCGGTCCTGTGAGCTGCCTCCAGCATGGATGACATCTACAAAGCCGCGGTGAGGGATGAGTCTTAGAAGGGTTGGGGTGGGTAGGCCTGTTGGGGTTCACTCAGCTCGGGATGGGCGGCGGGGGTGCCCCCAGGGAAGTGATGGAGAATTCAAGAGAGGCCCCGTACATCTATCTGTAGCTAAGCCCCTCAAAGGGATAGTAGGCTGACATTTGGGGGGGGTGTAGAAAAAGTGGGGGTCTCAGGGTCTGGAGAGGGGCTGTCAGGGTGGTTAGAGGGTGTGACCTCGGCTTTTAAGCATCCCGTTCCCCCCCCCCTTCTAAATGTCTAGTCTGTCGCTGCCTTGGCTACATCTCTGTATTTGTGTTCCTATTCTTTAGGTCCTTTGGTCCTTCTCAAGGTCTTTCCACTCTCTGCTTCTTCCTCACTGTCTGTCTCTCTGCGTATCTCCAGCTCTCCCCCCGCCCTCCCCATTTCTACCTGTTTCTTACATGCTCAGATCTGCCCCCCCGCCCCAGCCCCTTAGCTGGCCGAAGATGCTTTAGAAGGTGGGAGGTGACAGTGACTAGGGGATGGGGAAGGTGCACTTAGAAGGACCAGGCCTGGGGAGAGGGGACAGAAAGCTTAAGTCTAGTCCTTGTACGGTCTGGTAGGCTCAGGGGCTTAGGTAGACACCGAGTTTGGTAAGAGCCAGGGCTAGTGAACAGGTACCCCAAGACCCTGCAATCTCCTGGGGACCCCGAGGGCCTTTTGATACGACTTTCTACTTGCTCCAGACACAGGAAAATCCTAGCAAACAGCTGTTCCCAGGGAATTCTTCCCCTGATCCCCTGAATATGGCCCCTCTTGTGAGCAGGGAAGGGCTGCAGCTGGTTCCTGTGGTATCCTTGCCTATCTTGCAGGAGTCCGTGGAGCTGGAGTAGGGGGGTAGCCCTCCACCCAGTGCCCATACAAGGCCTGGCGGGGCTGGGGACTAATTTTGGCTCCTGAGGCAGCACCACTAGGCCAGGGGGGCAGATAACACTGCCCCACCCCCTGCATACCAAAGTCCCCAGAACAATCACCAGGTTTAACTTTGTCCTTCTTTAAAAATAGCTCCGTGGCCACTCTGGTCAGGTTACAGTGGGCGGTTTTGCTCACCCCCCAACATTAGTTTTATTGTCTCAACCTGAGGGACAGCTGTCTCTTAGGCCATGCAGCTTGGGTTTCATTAGGGTGACCTAAAGGGCATGGAATGGTCGTTGAGCATTGTTACTCGGGACACCTTGCTCCCGGAAGGGGTGCCTGCCTGTCACCTTGGCCCCTAGCCCAGCTTCTGGGAGATCAGCGGGGTCACCTTAGGGCTTCAGGGGCGGGAAAGAAGGACTGAGGACTGGGAGCGTGTGTCTCCTCCCATTCTCACTCAATCTCCCCGCCTGTGGAATGGGTCACTGTCTACAGCAGTCTCCGCTAAGGCCCGAGCCTGGGACCTGAGCTCCCTTTTCCTCTCTAGGTAGAACAGTTGACAGAAGAGCAGAAGAATGGTGAGTGTCTCCGACTGAGGGGACAGTGGGGACAATGGAGGGACAGTGGGGACAATGGAGGGACAGTGGGGACAATGGAGGGACAGTGGGGACAATGGAGGGACAGTGGGGACAATGGAGGGACAGTGGGGACAATGGAGGGACAGTGGGGACAATGGAGGGACAGTGGGGACAATGGGGGGAATGTGGGGACAATGGAGGGACAGTGGGGACAATGGAGGGACAGTGGGGACAATGGAGGGAATGTGGGGATGCCTTCCCAGGAAAGGTCTGGGGGTTCTCCTTGCTACAGCCTCAAAGGACTCTTGGAGGGAGGTGGGCGGCTTGCCGGTGGCCCCGGGGACCTGGGTTCCTAGTGTTCTGGCTGCTGATCCTGTCTCCTCACACTACCGTTGGACACAGAGTTCAAGGCTGCCTTTGACATCTTTGTCCTGGGTGCGGAGGATGGCTGCATCAGCACCAAGGAGCTGGGCAAGGTGATGAGGATGCTGGGCCAGAACCCCACGCCGGAGGAGCTGCAGGAGATGATTGATGAGGTGGACGAAGATGGTGAGCCCCCCTCGCCCTCTCCAGTCCCCACACACGAGCACCCCGGGCCCACTGGCCCCCGGAAACTCGACAAACAGCTCCTACCTGTAACCCCAAGAAGGCAGAGGCAGTACCGCCACGATGAGTTCGAAGCCCGTGCGATGCGTCACGTAGGGAGCTCCAGGCCAGCTTGGACTGCACAGCAAGATTCTGCCTCAAGCAGGAAGGAAGAGTGGGCACACTAGTCCCGTAGCGCTGGTGTGGGGGGGGGCACTGCCTGAATGCTAACCGCGTCCTCTCTCCGACCCCGCTGTCTACCCACAGGCAGTGGCACCGTGGACTTCGATGAGTTCCTCGTCATGATGGTTCGGTGCATGAAGGATGACAGCAAAGGGAAGTCTGAGGAGGAGCTGTCGGACCTCTTTCGAATGTTTGACAAGTGAGAACGTGCTTGGCTTCGGGACCCTGACCCAAGCGGAGAGTAGAGAGGGGTAATCTCGACTGGGCGGGCGATGGTGGTGCCTGCCTTTAATCCCGCACTCCGAGGCCAAGGCAGGCGGATCTCTGAGTTGAAGGACAGCCCGGTCTACAGAAAGAGCTACAGGGCAGCCAGGGCTACACAAAGAGAGGGAGGAAGGGAGGGAGGGAAGGAGGGAGGGAGGGAGGGAGGGAGGGAGGGACAGAGAGGGAGGGAGGGAGGGAGGGAGGGTCTCATCTCAGATCCCATGCTAGATCCCCCGCTGTCTGTCTCCCATCCTATATGAGGAGACTCAGCAATGCTCATCTCCGAGTTCCCTGAGCTCTGGGGTCCCTGTGCCCTCCCTGTAGAAACGCTGACGGTTACATTGACTTGGATGAACTGAAGATGATGCTGCAGGCTACAGGCGAGACCATTACAGAGGACGACATTGAAGAGCTCATGAAGGACGGCGACAAAAACAACGACGGCCGAATCGACTACGATGGTGAGTGGGCGGGGAACCAGGTCCTGCTGCTGTCCACCCTCTGCCCAGCTCTAACCTCTGACCCACGCTCTGCCCAGCTCCAACCTCTGACCCACGCTCTGCCCAGCTCCAACCTCTGACCCACGCTCTGCCCAGCTCTAACCTCTGACCCACGCTCTGCCCAGCTCCAACCTCTGACCCACGCTCTGCCCAGCTCCAACCTCTGACCCACGCTCTGCCCAGCTCCAACCTCTGACCCACCCTCTGCCCAGCTCTAACCTCTGACCCATGCTCTGCCCAGCTCCTACCTCTGACCCATGCTCTGCCCAGCTCCAACCTCTGACCCATGCATGGTCCTCTTTCCACAGAGTTCCTGGAATTCATGAAGGGTGTGGAGTAGACACTGACTCTGCACAGAGCTGCCCACGCCTGTCCTCCCACTCCAGACAGACCCTGTGGTGTGGGAGCAACTAGGTTCTCTAGACTCTGAACCTGGCTGTGTCCTTAAACCTTGCCCCCCCCTTCTCTCTCCCCATTCCTGTCCCTGGGGTGGAGGGAGAGCAAATAAATCCTTACTCCCCAGAGGCTGGTGTCTTGCTCTGATTTTCCTGGGGCCACAGTCCTTTCTCAGGGTTCCCTGCTCCCCGACAACGACTCCATTCCCTGTTAGGCTGGCTGCAGAGCCTGTGTGCTGACTGCTCGACCCACCCTCTGCCAGGGGACTTCCATTAGGTCAGCGATGCCTCGCTTCGTGGCTTCTTGGTGACTGGGCCCTGGAGCAGCCTCAGAACCTGCGTTTTAACAATCTCCCGGAGTTCGTGAAGGGTGTGGAGTGGACACTGACCTCCCCTGAAAGCTGTCTGCTCCACCTCTAGTCAGGCTCTGGGATGGGGGTGGGGGTGAGTTGCCTGGGTCAGCCAGTGCAGCAGCCGACAGACGTCCTCTCACAGGGAGCAGTTAGCTCAGTGGGTGCTGGGTGTTCGGTGGCACCACAACTTCTCCAACCGGTTGGGAGGAAGCCAAACCTTGTCGGACCCAGCAGGCTCGTGGTGCTGAGTGTCCCCCCACCACCTGTGTTTCCCACCAGGAATATTGCCCCCCCCCCCCCGGCCTCTGGCGAGCACATAGTTCACTCCACACCCTAGCATTCATTTTACAGACCAGGACCCAGTGGCCTAGAAAGCCAAGGTCATCCGGCAAATCCACAAGAGGGCTTAGACACTCTGCAGCCAGCCGTGGACTCCGACACCCTAGGTCAAACGGACCTACTGCCTACTTCCTTTGGCTCCCTGAGACTGACTTCCAGCCGCCCATGTGGTCTTTTTTTTTTTTTTACCCCCGACAGGAAATAAAAGCCTGAGGCCTAGAGACATCCCCAGCTTAGTTGGGGGGGGGTTCCCAGGCCGGAGCTGCAGTCAGAATAGCGACTGGGGAGGGGAAGTTGGGGGGCTTGCAAGGAAGTGGAGGTGTTGGTGGCAATGCTTTCAGGACAGACAGCTGGTGATGACAGCCAAGCTCCAGCCGGAACGCCAGCAGCTGTCCTCCATCTGCCCGGACTCTGCACCTGCGCCCCAGCCCAGGCATCCTCCAGACAGACAGGCTGCACATTCCAGAGAGAGTCTTGGAATTCTAGACATGCCTCTCTCTGGCCAGGCAAGAGCTGCCAGGAGTTCCCAGTCCCTGCAGAACCACAGGAAGAGTGAAGGGGGGTCCCCAAAGTCCTGCCCTTGGGATTGGGAACTGGAGAATCCGGGGCCCTACGGAGACATCCAGAGTGACCCAGCAGGGATGATGTCCCAAAGACGGAGGAGCCACAGTGGGTGGGTGGTACAGCCTGAATCCTTCCGTTGCCTTCCACAACCCTCTCTGCAGTATAGGCTAGACGCTGTGGTCCATCAGAGAGAGAGAGAGAGAGAGAGAGAGAGAGAGAGAGAGAGAGAGAGAGAGAGAGAGAGAGAGAGGGCTCGTTTCTAATCTCAGAATTTCTAGCTGACCCCGGGAAATGAAAAGGTAAAGGCAGTCAGGGAGGAAAGCAGAATGGTGTGATGGTCTTGGAACGTTTCCTAGAAGAGGAGGCATTGAGCAGAACCCCAAGAACACCAGTGGACCAGCCGTGGGATGCCGGGGAAAGGCTTGAAATGAGTCTCAAACAGGAAGGCATCCCTGGGACAGAAGCTGAGTCCCAGCTGCCTCTGGGAGAGGCAGGCAGTGCCAGGCCTCCTGTTCTGTAGTGCTCAGAGGTGACCTCGCTGGTCTGCCTCGGGTTTCTAAATGAGTTTATGAACTATGTAGCAGGCAAGAGTAAAAGTAGGGAGCCACAGGCAGAGAGAAGCAGCTAGCGGGACATTATCAAATCATCCAGCAAAGGTGCTCTCTCAGCCACACGGAGCGCAAGCAGAAGGCAGCCCCATCGAACTGGAGACGGCTAACCATTCAGCAGAGATCAATTGGGGAAACTCCTCTTGGGCAGCCGTATGGAGCTCCCAACCCTCTGCTGGCCTGTAGGCAGAAGGCTGTATACACAATAAATAAATAAAATATTAAAAAAAAGTGCCTGCTGGATGATTTGATAATGTTCCGCTAGCTGCTTCTCTCTGCCTGTGGCTCCCTACTTTTACTTTTGCCTGCTACGTAGTTAGGCAGAGGGTACCAGATCTCATTCAAGGTGGTTGTGAGCCACCATGTGGTTGCCGGGAATTGAACTCAGGACCTCTGGAAGAGCCATCTCTCCAGCCACCACCCCTCACTCCCCCGCAGGCACTTTTACAACATAGGATTAAATAATAGTAATACCCGTTGGAAGCAGTTGACCTTCTGGCTGTCCTCAAGGACACAGTGTTTTTATTCTTAGAAGGTTTCCTTGTTCTCTCTCTCTCCCTCTCTCCCTCCCCCTCCCCCGTTGCAGAGCTAGGGGGTCGAGTTTGCCACAGGAAACGTTTTTTGGAGAATGTTTTGAAATAAGCATGCTGGGGTCTGGGACAGAAGAACTTCCCCTGACTCCCAGGTTCCACTTTCTAGAAGCTTGAACAGCACACAATTTACCAATGTAATGTGCATGACACGCTCTTGAAAAACTCAGCCTTGGTAAAGAGTGAGGCACTCCTGGGGCTGCAGGGCTGCGGAGGGCAAGCCAGGAGGCACACCAGCAGCTGGGGGAGCAGGCAGAGCGGCTTTTGGTACTGTGGGATGCAGGAGGAAAGGGGCATAAAAGGTGCAGGGTTTGGGGAAGAATTTGAAGCTAGTATAGGTAGAATTGCGGAAGGCTCAGAGTTTGGTCACACAGGTATTTCTTGAGGTATGGAACCTTGGGAAGGTACAGGTTTAGATCAGAGGTCTCTCGGGGACGGAAGTTTCTTTGTATCCAGTTCTGGTATTTATCTCTCTATGAAACTCTACACTTTAAAACATGTTGCCGAAGCCAGGCAGTGGTGGCACACGCCTTTAATCCCAGCACTGGGGAGGCAGAGGCAGGTGGATCTCTGTGAGTTTGAGGCTAGCCTGGTCTACCGAGCGAGTTCCAGGACAGCCTCCAAAACAATACAGACAAACCCTGTCTTGAAAAAAACAAAAACAAAAACATGTTGCCAGAAATAGCACAAAATGATCCCATTTTCAGGCTAGGAAGACGGCTCAGTGGGTAAAGGCGCCTGCTAATACCAGGCTGTGTGACCAGAGATTGACTCCTGGGACCCACCCCAACGGACACGGGTGTTGTCACACTTGGACCGTTTCACTGTTCGGTTCCCCTCCTTGTCACAGAGAGAACTAGCCTGTCCCAGGAGGGATGCTGGCCGTAGTTCTGAAAGTTGTTCTCCGACCTTCACGCATGCACAGTGGCACGCTCACACCCCACCCCTGTGCACACGCACACATGTATACATGCGGAAAATATTCAAGCTACCCTAAATGTCACTTTAGCCTGCTTCCCCAAACTTTAACAAGGCCTCACAGTGTAGCTCAGGTTACCCTCAGTCTCCCACGTGCTGGGACCAGAGATGTGAAAACTACACTGGCTTGAACCTGAACTTTCATTTTGTTTTTGTTTTTGAGACGGGGTTTCTCCATATAGTCCAGGCTGTCCTGGAACTCACTCCTTATACTAGGCTGGTCTTGAACTCAGAGATCCGCCTGTCTCTGCTTCCTGAACGCTGGGATTAAGGGCCTGTGCCACCACACCTGGATTTGAGCTTTAACATCTTAGATAACTGTTGGAGAAGTCCTGTGTGTATGCCAATTAAGCACTGTTGGCCAATAGGGAAGTAAGATAGGTGGGACTAGGAGTTGAGGAGGACTCTGGGTAGGAGAAACACAGGGAGTCAAGATGTAACGCCATGGGGATAAGAAGCCTGGAAACTTCTCTGGTAAGAGAAATACTTAGATTAACAATTATGGGATAAATACTTAAGTCAGAGCTAGCCAGTAAGAAACAAGCAAAGCCAACAGCTTCATAATTAATATAGCCTCCTGTGTGTTTATTTGGGACTGATGCGGGCTTCTCTTTACAGATAACCATGAGACAGTGATCAAACCGAGGAAATCAACACGAATAGGAGTACAACACTGTTACCTAACTGAAATCTTGCCAGCTGCCCAGAGTCCTTTCGCTGGATGAACTGCTGTGTGGTGAAGATGACCACCAGCATGTCTGAGCTATCCTGGCTCCTTGTCAGTTTGTGACTGTTCTTCAGTCTTCTTTTTTTTTTAAGATTTTATTTATTTATCATGTATACAGCATTCTGCCTTCATGCCAGAAGAGGGCACCAGGTCTCACTACGGATGGCTGTGAGCCATCATGTGGTTGCTGGGAATTGAACTCAGGACCTCTGGAAGAACAGTCAGTGCTCCTAACCTCTGAGCCATCTCTCCAGCCCTCTTCAGACTTTCTCCATCCTTCAAGACCTTGATGATTTGGAAGGGGTACAGATTCATTCTGTTTTGTGTGTGTGTGTGTGTGTGTGTGTGTGTGTGTGTGTGTGTGTGTACTCTCATGTGCATGAACACACGTGTGTGTATCCATGCTTTCGGGTGCACGAAGGCGTCAGAGGGAGACACTGGGTATCTTGCTCCACACTCTGCCTTATTCCTGTGAGACAGGTTCTCCCACAGAAGGTGAGCTAGGCTGGCAGCCAGCAATCCTTCCATCTTTACCCGCCCCCAGCACGGGGATTGCAGGCCCAGTGCGTGGCCGTGCCTGGCTTTTTATGTGGGTCCAGGAGGTCGAGAGCTCAGGTCCTTATGCTTGCACAGCAAGTGCTCCTACCCATTGTAACACCTCCCAAGGCCCAAGTCCTTTCTCAAATCCCCCCCCCCCGTGTGTGTGTGTGTGTGTGTGTGTGTGTGTGTGTGTGTGTGTGTGTGTGTGTGTGTGTGTGTGTGTGTGTGTGTGTGTGGCAGAGGTCAGCTTCAGCTTCAGAGTGTTATTTCTCATGTGCTGTCCGGTATCTTTTCTGCAACAGTCTTTCACTTGCCCCGAGAACTCACCGGTGAGGCCAGGCTGACCAGGCCAGTGCGTGTGGCGCCAGTGCCACAAGCAACTCCAAGGTATCAGGGAAAGGAAGACCAGACGTCCACTTGTTTGTACTAAGAGAATGCATGTGCTGCCTTTATTGCCAGGAGAGTGAGTGAGTGTGTGTGTGTGTGTCTTCATTGCAAGTGCTAAGAGGTCTCCCTTGTAGGAGGGAGGAGCTTTATATACAAGTTTACAGCACAGTGGAAAAACTCCAGGTAGAAGACAGCGTGTTTTCCTCCTGTTGACTGTTGATGTCAGAGGGTCAAGGCTGGGGCAGTAAGCCAGGGCTAGAAAACAGGAAGCACTTGGACTGTAAAACAAGTTGCACTCGTAGGCTGACCAGCAACTCACAGAGACCCCGTCGGGTTGGGGCCCATCAAGTGCACACCAGGCATTGTGCCGTTTCTGCCTTCCCAGCTCTGGGATTACAAGCACACACCACCTCTTTTATTAAGTGGGTCCTGGGGTCCAAGCCCAGGTCCTTGCGCTAGCAGAGCCAGCGCTTTGCCAGGCGAGTCTCCTCTCCAGCCCCCAGGCTGGCTCTGTGGTAGGCTTTCTCAGCGTTCGGGTGGGTTTCCTCAGGATAAAGTTCAGGTGGGCAGCTGGACCGCCGCTGTCCACAAGGCCGGGCCACGGTGCTGGGCCGAGATTTAAACTAGGTGAGGAGAACGAGGTTTAAAGCAGTGAGGGCGGGCAGGCGGCCTCAGTGGGCGAAAGACTGTGGTCCGGGGTGTGGGTGTGGTCGGGGTGTGGGTGTGGCTGTGGGTGTGGCTGTGGGTGTGGGCACTGAGTATGGCAGTAGAGCCCTGAGGAAGACATGTTCTAAAGATACACACGGAAAGGCGTGTCTTTCTTGGTGGCCACTCGAAGAGTGCCTGAGGTATATGTAGGGAGGGAGAGGGTGATGGGCAGTGGCTGGGGAGGGGAACAGAGTCACGCCCACTATGAGAGAAAGAGGAGGATGGCTAAGCCTGCCACACAGCTGTCTCTTCGCGTGGGGTTTAGAAGTGAGAATTGTCCCAAGAGGGGCATCAAGGAGACAGGGAACGTCTCTGCCCACCCTGGCCGTCCTCGTCAGCTTCCAGAGGTGGGGCCCTTCTGGGAGAGAGGGAGTTCTAGGAAACGGCGTGGGAGTTGAGAGCAGAAAAAAAAGGGGGGAGCCCTTCCTTCCAGATATTGCTGCCCCAGAATCGTACCCAGGAATGGATGGTCTACATAACCCTGTATGCGCCCACCTAGTGACTCCTGCTGCAGGAACACACACACACACACACGCGCGCGCGCGCGCGCGCCACATGAAGCAGCCCAGGGGTCCCACGCGCCCACCAGCCAATGCTGTGTCGCTTGTGAGCCTAACCCATTTCTGTCTTCTCCACTGTGGAGTTACGTCATCCTTTGCCTGGATAGGGCTTTCTCCACGAAGCCTCCCCTGATCTTTTCCACCAGAAGAAATCACTGGAGCGTCCTTCCTGCTCCCGGTTCTTTGTGTTGCGGTGCCTGATTGCTCGGGAGGAGGTTTTTTAGCTAGCACAGAACCAGACTGGCATTTTTGATCCGTCATGACGTTCCACCTGTGTCCACTGGGTGGCACTGTGTGTCTGGGCAAGGCTCTGATTGGAGCCTTCGGGGGTGCCTTTTGCGTCTGTGGCTGGCTGGAAGGGTCTCTTAAGGAAAGATCTACACCTGCTGTCTAGATTGGGAAACTGAGGAAGAGAAGGGCAACGGGAGGCATGGAGAGAGAGAGCGAAAGAGTGAGAACCTGACTGAGTCATACGTACAGCTGAGTACGGGCCTCCAGGCTCTGACACGGGTCCTTTCTGTGATGTGAAGTGCACCCTGTCCTCCCCCGCCCCACCCAACCCCCCATGCCTGTCGAGCTAGGGTCTGGCTGAGTATAGACCTCTGGGGTGGTGGCCCGAGGAGGCACCCTGCTCATACTCGGCTCGTGGCAGCCACACCGCAGTTAAAGGGCTTGCCCGCCTCAAGCTCAAGCAAGACATAGGGCCTCCGCCTGGGCTAGGTAACTTGGGACAGGGTGTCTCCGCCCTACTGTGATTCCAGGATAGACTCCACTATAGCAGCCCCTGCGCAGGCACCGTTCCTCAGTTTATAAGTTTATGTCCCGGACGACTGGTCCCTTGGCCTCAGGAGGAGGAGGCAGGCTCGGGTGGTAAAGGGCATTGGTTAGGGTTCTTCGGCAGAGTTCAAGGCAGGAGTGGGTGGGGCCGGTTGCCAGAGTCTCCATGTGGCCCCCCCGTGGTCTGCTTCCAGGTTGAAAAAAAAGAAAAAAGAAAAGAAAAAGGCCCCTACCGCATTGACGTTCTAGGGTCTCTGGGAATAGGGAGGTGGAGTTGTAAGGCGTGGTCCTTTTCATGCTGAGCCAGGGGCTAATCTGTTTCCTTTCTAGAGATGAGATAGAGAGAGGAGATAGGGTCCCAGGACACCCCCCTCCCAACCTCCAGGAGGTCCAGGAGCAAAAGAGGGCCCCAGGGCTGAGCCGAGCCTGCCCTTCTGTGATCGGAGTCAAGCCCCTCTCCGGAACAGCTGCTCGCAAATTCCCTGCCGCCCACCTTCTGAGGGCGCAGGCCGCTCCGTCTGGGTGGCCCACCCTACAGGCATTTCTAGGATTCTGGGAGCTCTAAATGTGGATTCTGAAAGGAGGGTACAGGGGATGAGGTGGGGGCTGGGGGGGTTGGCGGGGACGGGAAACCGCTCTGAAATGGTGGTGTGGGGGTTCCGAACCTCTCACCCAGATCCAGTTCCTGGCTGCATTTCCCCCCTGGGCTCCTTCCCATGCACTCCTCACCAGAGTTTGGGGCAGAACAGTGAAATCTGGCAGAGCCATGGTGTGTAGGGCCCACCGTCTTGGGAAGAACTCACCGCTGACCCATCGTGCTCTACCCCCCCCCCCCCTCCGGGGGCCTCTGAATGACTGGGGCCTGGAGGAATGAACGATTGCAGGTCCCCTGGGCTTTGCATAAACCCTGTTCCCACCTCTGAAAAAGGTCTGCCGAGTGAGACGGACCTTCGGAGAGTCAGGGAGGGCCTGTGGAGCCTGGGGAGGTCTGAGCAGGAGACCTTAGGCCAGAGGTTCTCAACCTTCCTGACGCTGCGACCCTTTGATACAATTCCTCACGTTGTGGTGACCCTGACCGACCGTACAACTGTTTCCATCGCTGCCTCATAACTGTGATTTCGCTGCTGCTGTTACGAATCGTAATGCAAACACCTGTTTTCTGACGGTCTCAGGCGACAGCCCCTCGAAAGGGTTTTTGCCACCCCCAAAGGGGTCATGACCCACAAGTTGAGGACCACTGTCTTAGACATGTGTTTCTTAGCATTACCAGGCCTGTGAAGGGTGGTTTGGTCTTAAGCCCCCTACCAGGATGAGCTTCTTGGGTTCGAAATGAACCCTCAGCCCGCCAGCAGCTTAGGCACTGCAGGAGAGCTGGACAGTCAGGTTGACAATACCTGGCTTGCCCAGGGCTAGTGGCAGCCTCGCCTCTGGAGAGGTAGGAGCAAAGGCAGACCCCCTACCCGATCCCTGACTTCTCTTTTCAGGTCCTCTTGCCCCTTGGCTGCTTGGCTGTCGCCTGGGTACTTGCAAATTGTGATTGTCCGTCACTCAAACAGTCCACACCTCAGCTAGGAGAGAGTCTCCTAAGAGGGGAACGGGCTGGCTTGCTACACCCCGCATGCCGTGGGCCAGCTGGGGTGGCTGGAGAAGCCGCAGGTAGATGGCAGGCCCTTGGAGTTCTTAGGCTTCCCTCTTCCTCCCCGCCTTCCCGCCCAGCGCTGGGTGGAGCCGCCACCGCCTTATAAGTGGCAGCCCTGGTGGCGGCGGCGCAAACTACTTCCAGCAGCTGGATCAGAGGGCAGCTCCTTTCCCCCAGCATGGCCCAGCAGGCTTGGGCCATCTGCTGCCTCCTGGGGGGCCTCCTGCTCCACGGGGGCAGCCCCAGCCCCAGCTCCGGCTTGCCTCGCCTGCGGCTCTCCTATCGAGGTACTGACCGACCAGCGCTGCCCTGCTTGTGGGTGTCTGTGAATGTCTGTGGCTCTAGGGCACCCCTCAGCCAGCCTGCAGCAACAGGGTAGAGTCACGCCCTGCACATCCTTTGGGAAAGGCACGCTGGGGCAGCCCCTGGATGGTGCTAGGGATGACCACGGGCAGGGAAGGTAAGACACATCCGGGGAGCCATAGCCAAAGCAGGGGACTGATGCAGGGTGGAAACTGAGGAAGCTGCTGCCAGGGGAGAGAGGGAGATGGAAGAAGCCATGACAGAGACCTCTGTGGGGGTGGGTGCAGAGATGGGAGGGGGACGGAGGGACCGGGCAGACGGGAGGGGTGCAGAGAGGGTCTGAGCAGACGACAAGGGGGTGGGTAGCAGTCTGTCCTCGTCCTGAGCCACAGGGGAGGGGAGGGGTCTCTCCCACCTGCCCTGGCTGATCGTCCAAGCTCACTGTAGTGCAGGAGTGTCTCTGCATCCCTCTGCCATCCAGTGGTGTGTGTGTGTGTGTGTGTGTGTGTGTGTGTGTGTGTGTGTGTGTGTGTGTGCGCGTGCACGCAGAAGTGGTCCTCTGTTCTAATCCAGCTGTGTGGTCCTGCCTCCTTTGATGGTCCATGGGATGATTGAAACAGAGATTTCATTATAGATTCTTTGACAGAAAAATGTATTGTGCTTATTATTTTTATTTATTTGTTTTGGAAGAGAGGATGAGAGAGAGAGAGAGAGAGAGAGAGAGAGAGAGAGAGAGAGAGAGAGAGAGAATGTACTGTGTCTAGGTGCACATGGGCTACAGTACATGCTCCACATGTGTGGAGGTCCGAAGACAAGCTGTAGGAATTGGTTCTCTCCCTCCACCGTGTGAAGCCCCCCACCCCGGGGGAAGGGGGGGAGATCAAACTCAGGTTGTCAGGTCTGGCAGCTGCTGAGCCGTCTCGCCAGCCCTGCAGACTCTCCTCAGAGAGAGAAGAAGAATTACCGTCCCCATGGAGAGCTCAGTCAGAAGGAGAAAGGTTCAAGCTTGCCGGGGAGACCAAGAGGGGAAAGGTGTTGTCCTTGTTCCAGGAATTGTGGCTTTGAGGGGAGACCACCAGGCTACCAGGCTGTTAGAAACCTGCCAGGGGGACGTTTCAGAGTCTCTATCAGCCGGGGGGGAGGGGGCTTCCCGAAGAGGCTGCCAGTGAGTTTGGGGATGGAGTGGAGTGCATGAGGGGCTGTAAGGCAAAGGGCACCAGACGTTCCCAGAGCAACAACCCTGCCAGTCCTTCGAGGAGGCATCGCCCCACTTCCCCAGGGAAATATATCAAGACCTACGATGGGGGGGGGGCTTGATCCCTCCATCTCCGGGGTCAGCTGGCAGGACAGTGTCTACAAGGGAAAATGTCATTTGCCCACAATTCTGAGGCTTGAGTTCTGCCTGGCGGTGCCGAATCTGCTAATCTGCCCTGCACCGCGGTGTTCCCTCTGCCCGAACCTGTCTGCTTTCCCAGTGGAGCCAGACTTGCAAGTGTTCACACTCTCCGGCCTCCTTCCTGTCTCTCCAAGCTCTTTGCCAGGCAGCCAGGCTTGCCGGCGTAATGTCTCTGTTGGCGGGGCTGTCTTCCCTGGGCACTTAGCAAGGACCAGGTGGGATCCCAGGAAGCTGTCTGCTGAAAAGATGAAGGGTCAGACGGGCGTTGATAGAGCACGCCTTTAATCCCAGCACTCAGGAGGCAGAGGCAGGCGGATCTCTGTGAGTTTAAAACCAGCCTGATCTACCGAGCGTTCCAGGACAGCCTCCAAAACAATACAGAGAAACCCTGTCTTGAAAAACCAAAAAAAAAAAAAAAAAAAAAAAAAAAAAAGATGAAGGGTCTGAAGAACGGGGGATGGAGGGTTTTATTGGGAATTGTCTCGGCTGCAGAATGCTTGGGTGCTGAGCACGATGGAAGGTGGTACTAAGTTTAGTCTCCAGGACCACTTAAAGAAAAAACAAAGAACAAAGGTGAACTGAGCTAGATTGGGTGGGGACTGAGAGCTGCTTGTGCTACATATCCTGAGAACCATGTCCAAAAAGCCCTCCAGCAACCCTGTGCATGGCAACATTTTCCAGATGTACGTGTGAGTGATGAGTGCATACCTGGGACCCCCCCACCCCCATTCCCCAGACCTGACTGGGCGTGTAGACTGAGTAGCAGTCTCTAACCCTCTTCTCTCGGTCTCCGCTAGATCTCCTGTCGGCCAACCGCTCTGCCATTTTTCTGGGCCTGCGGGGCTCCCTAGACCTCCAAGTCATGTATCTGGATGAGTATCGGGATCGCCTCTTCCTAGGAGGCCGCGACGCCCTCTACTCTCTGAGGCTGGATCAGGCATGGCCAGACCCCCGAGAGGTGAGCAGGACTGATGGGGTTGGAATTGGGGCACCTCCAGATGGGAGGCCAGATGGAGAACTCGAGACACTGAGGCACTGGCTGCATTTCAGGTCTTGTGGCTGCCACAGCCAGGACAGAAGGCAGAATGCGTCCGAAAGGGAAGAGACCCTGTGGTGAGTGTTATGGACAAGAACCTCTGCAGCCCGCCCAATACCAGGCCCTGGAACTAGCTCTTGTAGACCAGGCTGGTCTCGAACTCACAGAGATCCGGAGCTGCTGTGAAGCAGCTGAGCCTTAGAACCCTTCTCCTGCAGACAGAGTGTGCCAACTTCGTGCGGGTCTTAGAGCCCCACAACCGGACCCACCTGCTGGCCTGCGGCACTGGAGCCTTCCAACCCCTCTGCACCCTCATCACAGTGGGGCACCGAGGGGAGGTGAGCCTGGGCCTGGCCCCATGAGGCACTGGGAAGCAGCGACATCGCCTCGCCCCCCGCCCCGCCCCGCCCCACGCCCCTGCTGTCTGAACGCTTCCCATTGAACCAGGGTTAGGACAGAGGGGGTAGGGGCTTGAAAGGCCCCTTTGTGCTGGGGTTGCTGACCCCATCAGAGACGCCTTGAATGGGGGTCCCCCCCTCTACCCCCGGCCCTATGCCCCAGTTGCACGCAAAGGTCACTCGCCTGGGCTGAGGCCCTGCCTGTTTCCCAGGTGACAGGCTTCTGTGCCCTTTCCCTGCCCTTAGCACGTGCTCCGCCTGGAGTCCAGCACCGTGGAGAACGGAAGGGGACGTTGCCCGCATGAGCCAAGCCGTCCCTTCGCCAGCGCCTTTGTAGGTGGGTAATGACCAGGCTAGGGAAGGCCAGGAGGATGAGAGTTATCATGCCTTCGGAGAGAGGGACGGGCTGGCTGCTAGGCCTGGCCCTCTCTCTCCTGACTCTGGTCCCTTCTAGGTGGGGAGCTGTACACAGGGCTCACTGCTGATTTCCTGGGACGTGAGGCCATGATTTTCCGCAGTGGGGGTCCCAGAGCAGCCCTGCGTTCTGACTCTGACCAGAGCCTCCTCCATGGTAAGGCTGCCTGGGACCCGTCGTCCCTCCCTCCCACCAGGATGGTAGAAGACAGATGGAATCAGCTCCTGGGGTGAGGGAGGCGCTGTCCTCCCCCCCACCCCCACCCCGGTCACCTCTCATCGCTACCCTGTCACTCTCCCAGACCCCCGGTTTGTGATGGCTGCCCGGATCCCAGATAACTCTGACCGGGATGATGACAAGGTCTACTTCTTCTTCTCTGAGACTGTCCCATCGCCGGATGGTGGCCCAGGGCGTGTCACCATCAGCCGTGTGGGCCGAGTCTGTGTGGTAAGAACTGTGGTCGGGGCGGTGAGGTTCACGACCCCCCCCCCTCACCACCCTGTCGTGGCCCCTTTCCTAGACTGTCCCTCCACAGCAGGGAAACTGAGGCAAGGATGCAGTGCTGACATCCGTACCTCTCCCCGTGGCTGGGGCGGAGGGACAGGAGGTGGTGGGTGGTGGGGCCCACCCCCCCATTGGGGGGCGTGAAGCCGACTCCCGCCTCCCATTCCCCCCCAGAATGACGCTGGTGGCCAGCGTGTACTGGTGAACAAATGGAGCACATTCCTGAAGGCCAGGCTGGTGTGCTCCGTGCCTGGCCCTGGTGGGGCCGAGACTCACTTTGACCAGCTGGGTAAGGGAACGGCCAAGCCGGACTGGGTTCTGGGAGTAGTGGGAAGGTGGGGGGGGTGAGGGGTTGGGGGTGTGGGTGTCTCAGAGAGGGTTTGGTCAGAGCACTGGCGATCTGACGTCGATGCCTCCTTCTGTGTCCCAGAGGATGTGTTCCTGCTGTGGCCCAAGGCAGGGAAGAGCCTTGAGGTGTATGGGCTGTTCAGCACTGTCAGGTGGGCCTTGCTTCCTGCACCCAGCCCGGTTCCCGTACCCTCGGTTTCTCTGTGGGGCCTTCCTTCGCTCTCATGACTCAGCCTGCCCGGTTGTCTTTCTCCCAGTTTTTTTTTTTTTAAGATTTATTTATTTATTACATATACAGTGTTCTGCCTACATGCCAGAAGAGGTCACCAGATTGAATTGTAGATGGTTGTGAGCCACCATGTGGTTGCTGGGAATTGAACTCAGGACCTCTGGAAGAGCAGTCAGTGCTCTTAACCTCTGAGCCATCTCTCCAGCCCCTCTCCCTGTTTTTGGTGACGCTGTGACTGCTCTCTCGGTCTCTCTCTCTCTCTCTGTCTCTCTCTGTGTCTCTCTGTCTCTCTCTGTCTCTCCTCTCTCGGTCTCTCTGTCTCTCCTCTCTCTTTGTCTCTGTCTCTGTCTCTCTCTTTCGTCACTGTCTCTGTGTCCCGTGTCCCAGACTGTGTCTTCAGCAGGACCCTGCTATCTTCTGTGTCACCCACTGGGCCAGCTCTGGTCACCTCCGACCACCCTCGGCCTGGCCTGACTGTCCCTGTTTGTCCCTTGGCAGTGCTGTGTTCCGGGGCTTTGCCGTCTGCGTGTACCACATGGTAGACATCTGGGAGGTCTTCAACGGTCCCTTTGCCCACCGAGATGGCCCTCAGCATCAGTGGGGACCTTATGGGGGCAAGGTGCCCTTCCCCCGTCCTGGCGTGGTAAGTTGCTGCTTGGGACCAGGCAAAGGAGCCCTAAGTAGATGGTGTGTGTGTGTGTGTGTGTGTGTGTGTGTGTGTGTGTGTACTCCTAGCTGCTTGGGACCAGGCAAAGGAGCCCTAAGTAGATGATGGGTGTGCATGCGTGCGTGCGTATGTGTGCGTGTGTGTGTGCGAGTGTGTGCGTGCGCGCGTGTGTGTGCGTGTGTCAGAGTGCGCACATGTGTGGACTACTCCATAGAAAAGCTTCAGGTTTACGGTCCTCCCACGGCAGTGATGGGCTGGGCCTCCAGGGGGACTGGAGGGAGAGCCTCTGCTATGCTATGGGCCTGGCTCCCTGGAGGTTAGAAAGAGGCCTGGCAGTGCCGTCCTGGGGACTTCAACTGCCCCTTTGTTGCTGCTTGCAGTGCCCTAGCAAGATGACTGCACAGCCCGGGCGGCCCTTTGGCAGCACCAAGGACTATCCAGATGAGGTGCTGCAGTTCGTCCGAGACCACCCACTCATGTTCCAGCCCGTGAGGCCTAGGCGCGGCCGCCCTGTCCTGGTCAAAACTCACTTGGCTCAGCAGCTGCGCCAGATTGTGGTGGACCGGGTGGAGGCTGAGGATGGGACCTATGACGTCATCTTCCTAGGGACTGGTAGGAGGGTGGAGCAGAAGCAGCCAGGTGTGTGGGAAGGGGTTGGCCCCTTCCTTCTTGTGTCATTAACCCTTGTCACCCTGCTCCAGATTCAGGCTCTGTGCTCAAAGTCGTTGCCCTCCAAACGAGTGGCAGCGCTGAGCCGGAAGAGGTCGTTCTGGAGGAGCTCCAGGTGTTTAAGGTGAGCAGGGGTTAGTGAGAGGCTCCACCCCCATTCCGGGGCCTGGGGTAGGCTCCAGGGGAGTGAACTGAGGGGGTAGGCTCAAGTTATGGAGTACTGAACAGGCCCTGAGGTGCTTCTGAATTACCGAGAGAGAGCGGAGTTAGCAGAGTGTGAACTCAAATGCCTGGTGCTTTCTGGAGAGGGGGGAGCCAAGGTGAGCACCTTTGACAAAGCCTAGTCAGGCTCAACTTGCAGTGACTAAGTGGGTGAGCCTCCCAAGTCCCCAAGAGTTTTCCTCCCCCTTATATCTGGACAGGGATTGTCTCTGTTTGGGGGGGGCTATTTTGCCTCTGGACATGAGGTAAATGATTTAGGGCGGCAGCTGGTCCACGGCTGGGGAACATTGTGGGAGGGGACAGTGGAACTCTGTGCCAAGTCTCCCACTTGGCCTGGTGGCCAGCCAGGATGAGGGGACCTTTCCGGGTATCAGGGAAAGATGACCCAGCTGTTTTTCTTGCTTGTTTGTTTGTCTGAGCAAGGTATATACATATATCTTGCTATATATGCTTAGCTGGCCTAGAACGCACTGTGTAGACTAGGACGGACTCAAACTCAGAGAAATCTACCACCTGCCTATGCCCCCCCGAGCGCTGGGGATAAAGGCCTGAGCTACCATACCCAGTGTTTGTAATTTTTTGAGATCGTGTTTCTCTATGTAGCTCAGTTTAGACTTATTATATAAAGCGAGCTGGCTTTGGTCTCTCCATCTTCCTGCCTCGGTGCTCAGGTGCTAAGATTACAGGCAAGCACCACCTTTTCCCAACCCCATCCATCCTTTTGCTGCCAGGAGGCACAGTGATCAGGTGGGGGTTTGGCAAGCGGTTCCTACACAGGGCTTGGGGGATGGTGGAGGCAAGGATTCTGCACACAGCCTTCACCAATCCATTCTAAGACCCTATCCCGTCTCTAGGTGCCAACTCCCATCACCCAGATGGAGATCTCTGTCAAAAGGGTAAGGTCCACCCCTTCTCCATACCCCCTCTCCTACACTTGCCTTGGATTCTATCGAGAGCTAGGCCTATCAGATTTGACTAGGTCTTGCAGCTAAGACCGAGTCCTGCTGGGAGCAGAGCTTCACGTGTTCAGAGGAAGCCACAAAAGCCCCTGGGGGAGCCTCTAAGGGACATGAATGGGCTTGCAAACAAAATCCAGATTTCTTTTTTCTTTTTTTGGTTTTTCGAGACAGGCTTTCCCTGTGGCTTTGGAGGCTGTCCTGGAACTAGCTCTGTAGACCAGGCTGCCCTCGAACTCACAGAGTTTCGCCCGCCTCTGCCTCCCGAGTGCTGGGATCAAAGGCGTGCGCCACCACCGCCCAGCCAAAATCCAGATTTCTAATGAAACGAGGTTACTGTTTTTTAGTGGTATGTGGCATACTCTTAACCAGTCACAAATGTTCTTTGTCCCAGTTTGTCTTTATGTAAATCACAGCTCAAAAATTCTTGTTTACAGTGTGTGTGTGTAAGCGTGTGTGTGTGCGTGTGCCTGCCTGTCTGTCTATGTAGAGGCTGGCGAACCTTCCCAAGTGCTGCTCACCTTTCTTTGAAGCAGATCCGCTGGCCTAGAGCTCACCCATTAGGCTAGAGTGGCTGGCCAGCAAGCCCTGAAGCCACATGTCTCCACATCTCCAACCTGGAGTTGCAAGTGAGGCCACCACAGCCTGCTTTTTTTTAACATGCAGTTTCTGAAGACAGCCCAGATCCTTGTGCTCAAGCACCTGATGGACTGAGCTATCTCCCTAGCCTCTGGGAGCAAATCCCAACACTCCAAGTTTTTAAAAACTATCCTGCCACACTCTTGAAGTTTCAGTGAGCAAGTGGCTGAGTCTACAGGGCCCTAAAGGTTCTCCTGGCCAGTGGAGACGGTAGAGATCCGAGGACAGTTTGTGGAGGCAGAGTCTTTCATTTGCCTAGGTGAGGGGGTGGGTGGTGGTCACTGTCTGGGATTGTCAGGTGACTGTCGGGTACCTTTACCTGCAGAGTCATCTCACGGGTCCAGATCTCAGCTTTCATGCATGGATTACTGTAGACTTGTCCAATCTACAGCCTGCTGGCTGGCTACAAGGGGCTGAGCTCTGCGTGTTGGCCTAACACAAAATCATCAGCTTACTTAAAACATGAGTTGGTGCGCCCCACGCCCCCTTTGTTTTTTGATAACTCAGTTGCTCATACACAGACTTTGCAGATATCACAATGTCAAAAAGGCTGGCCTTGCCTGCGAGGTATAATTCTGGAGTCAGAGGCCAATCACACGGAGTTCCTTAGGCTAGGGTGCAAAGGCTGACAACGAGGAGGGCCTGAGGACGGCTCTTACAGAAAAGTCCCACCCCTGGCCCCTCCTACCCACTCACAGCCTAGTACAGGGTCTGGAATACACAGCACCTCTAGTCTTGCAAGTGAATCCAAGAGGTTCTGGAAACCTTCCTGAAACTGACGGGTCTCGGGAAAATCTGGGGTTGAGAGCCCATCGGTGAAGCCCAGCTCACCGTGGCGGCTCTGTTTGTGTCCCTTCCCTAGCAAACACTGTTCGTGGGCTCTCCGCTGGGCGTGGCCCGGCTGCAACTGCACCAGTGTGAGACTTACGGCAGTGCCTGTGCAGAGTGCTGCCTGGCCCGGGACCCTTACTGTGCTTGGGATGGTGCTTCCTGCACCCGCTACCGCCCCAGCTTGGGCAAGCGCCGGTTCCGTAGGCAGGACATCCGACACGGCAACCCTGCCCTGCAGTGTCTGGGCCAGGGTCAGAGCCAAGACAGTGAGTAGTGGGCTCGGGGTGTGGGTCAGCCTGTGGGCTGGGCTCCATGCTTGGGAAGCATGAAGTCTATTGCAAATAAGGTGCCCGGTTTCCCTATTTATACAGCTATACACCGGGCTTTAGAGCAGCATCTTCTAGCACTGAGAGTGGCTTGTGATTGACGGATGTCTAAGTCCTCATCACTCGGGTATCCTACGGGAGTTAGTTTTTGGCCCTCAGAGCCTGGGTCCCCGAGTTCCCAAGCTGATCTGACCTGGTCCTCTCTACAGAGGAAGCTTCGGGACTGGTGACCAGAGTCTTTGGCACAGAGCACAACAGCACCTTCCTTGAGTGTCTGCCCAAGTCTCCCCAGGCTGCAGTGCGCTGGTTCTTACAGAGGCCAGGGGATGAGGGGACTGACCAGGTGAGTGAACACCCTGCCTTGGGATCCACTTCTCTCCCTGAACCCCCAAACCCTAAGCTCTAGAAAGGGACTCTGGGATGAACCGGCAAAGATCATCCTGAGAAAAACATACCCTGGCTACCTATGAGGACCTGTGCCCGTGCTTCTGCTTCTGGGAATGCCTAGGCTAGATGTGGCTATGCTCTGTAGTATGTGAGGGGAGCGGCAGGGGTTAAAGAGAGGGAACGGGGTCTAAGCTAGTCTGGAAGTCCTCATGCTAACACGCATGGCTCAGCCTTGAAGGGGATCTCTTCCCCAGAGTTTCTTCGTTTTTCTCTGCTTCAAGCCTGGTCCCTGACCACTACATTGCCTCCTGTTCCCAGCCCCAGGCTTCTCCCTCAGAAGTCAGTTGTCTTCCCAAGCCCTCTTTCTCCCGGTGACTGGGAAGGTCCATCAACCCCCAAGATGGCTTCAGTCTGGGGGTGTGGGCAGAGCAGGATCAGGAAGGGTTTTCCCATGGGATTTCGATTACAGGAGGGGCCCTTCCTCCAGCTTGGGAGCCAGAGAGGGCAAGCCTGGAACCAGCTGTAGGGTTGGGCACTGAGGAGACTCCCTGGAGCAGGGGGAGGAACGAGATGAAGTTACACAATGCTAACCACCCAGGCAGTTCACCCTCGCTGCTCAGATGCACGAACCGAAGCCCAGACAGGGTTAGCAGAAGAGCTTGGGGTCGGAGCCAGCGCTTGCCTCCCACACACAAGTGGGCACTTAGCCCACCCCAGGCTTGGGCTGTGGGCCTCACACTGTTGGGGAGTGAATAGGCCAGACCGAGACAGGGAAAGGCCAGCATCACTGTTGGTGTGTGCGTGTGTGTGTGTGTGTGTGTGTGTGCATGCGTGTGCGTGCGTGCGCGTGCACACGCAAGAGAGAGAGCATGCACAGCTGTGAGTGAACGCATGTGTTTGTAGAGTTTTCCTTAGCTCAGAGTAAAACCTCATTAGACATGCGCCTAACTCCTCTGCTTCCTGGGTGATCCTGCAGAGTTTATGAAGCTGGTGCCTTAGGGCTCTTTGACCTGGGGGACAGACACACACACAGCCAGAAGCTTCCTTTAGAGGTCCTTGTCCTATGCTGTGGGAAGACCAGGGTCTGTCTGCCTGCCTGCAATTAGCTCATGGTCTGCCCTGAGATCCTGTCATGCTCCTGGGCCCACCTTGGCGAGGAGGCAAAAGGAGGGCCCAAGGCTTGGACCTTGAGGATGCTAAATGTGGGAAAACAGGGCAAAGAAGACGAGGTGAATGTCCTCTCCGGCTTCTTGGCTCACGCCTCCCGTGTCCTCCCACGCGCCCCGTAGGTGAAGACAGATGAGCGAATCGTGCGAACAGAGCAGGGGCTGCTGTTCCGGAGGCTCAGCCGCCTTGATGCAGGGAACTATACCTGTACCACCCTGGAGCACGGCTTCTCCCAGACCGTGGTTCGGTTTTCCCTGGAGGTGATCGCAGCCGCGCAGCTGGACAGCCTGTTCCCCCGGGAGCCAAGGCTAGAGGAGCCCTCAGCCTGGAGAGGCCTGGCCTCTGCCTCACCCAAGACTTGGTACAAGGACATCCTTCAGCTCGCTGGCTTCGCCAACCTGCCCCGTGTGGATGAGTACTGTGAGCGTGTGTGGTGTAGGGGGCTTGGGGAGCGCTCGGGCTCCTTCCGGGGCCGGGGAAAGCAGGCGAAGGGCAAGAGCTGGGCGGGGCCAGAGTTAGGCAAGAAGGTGAAGAGCCGCGTGCTGGCCGAGCACAATCGGACACCCCGGGAGGTAGAAGCCACATAGAAGATGACCGAAGAGGGGGTGGCCAGGCTGGGCTTGGGGAGGGGGGACGCAACAGCATCTCCCTCCCACCCAGCTAGGGCAGAGGAGGCCAGGGCACCCGGTTACCTCTTAGAGATGGAAGTCTCTACCGTGCCTACAGGAAAGACTAGAGGCTGGTAGGAGGGGCCACGCACCTCAGCCTGCCCCCGTCTGTCTGTGCGCACTCAGTCCCAAGCTGGAGCTGGCACACACACACCCCTTCCCCCGCACCCCGCCGCCGACCACTTGTAGTCCCAAGGGGCCTGCTTATTTGTTCTCAGAGATGGTGTGGCTTCCGGACGCACGTTTCCGGTTGTGCCCAGAGTCTTGGGTGGTTCTCAGCTTGCAGAACAATGGCCATTCTGGGTGGGCGTATGGATGGCTCTGAGGGGGACATTCTGGCAAGTCCACCAGAGATGGGGAAAGTGGCCTTGTGAGCTGGCATCTGTGAAGAAGCATTTGCCCCAACGGAGGGGTGTGAAAGAAGGTTTCCCTGCCTCTGCCCACCGCCACCTCCAACGTACAGACGCAGAAACAGCCGGAGCCCTGGAGGTGGCCTGGCTCCCCTTTTACACCAGGAAGAGTGGTCTCACAAGATGACACCTCACCATCAGGGTCACTTCCTGAGGATCGGAAGGAGGGCCTGAGGGGGGCGGAGGGAGGAAGAAAGCAGCTGCCGGGGTGGGTGGATGGGAGCAGGAAGGGGCTACCTTTCTAAGGGGGAGGCGGCACACTCGGGCCTGCGAGGTTAGGACCGGGACTCTCTGAGAACTGCAGCCTGTGGTCAGGGTCAGCGTCCTGGGCTTTGTCCAGGGCCACAAGGACCTAGAGAGAGGCGGGTCCATGGGGGGGTCCGTGACAGGTGTCTGTCCTCCAGAGTCAAGGTGACACCAGTCAGTTCGGGAGTCACTAGATGGGCCAGATATTTCCAACCCCGGAGTCTGTGTTTCCTGCTCTACTACACAGGGTGGCCGTGGTGGTTCATTTGTTAGGACTCCCATGGTTTCCGTGGTACTGGGGACTGAACCGCCAGGGTCTCAGGCACGCTAGGCGGCAAGCGCTCTCCCCGCTTTCTTTCTAGCTGGAGGTTGTGGAAAAGAAAGCTGGTGTCAAGGGCACATCTGGCCTGGGCTGTAGGGAGGGGCTTTGCCATCAGCCCAGAGTGGAGGAGGAGGAGGATGAGGATGAGAACCATTAGATGAAAAGTTATTCCCAGCCTGAGGGTGAGCAAGTCAGTGACTTTGCACAAGACAGACAAGAGGGCAAGCCTGAGACCTCTCTCCCTTGAAAAGAAGGAGAAAGAAGAAAAGAGAGAAAGAGAGAGAGAGTGTGTGTGTGTGTGTAGGGGGGAGATGGAAAGGCAAGACAGAGGTTCTTACTCCACGGAAGTTCAAAACCTTGGGTTTTATTTCCTCTACCCTGGCACCCCCAGGGTGCCGGGATCTGAACATGCACCCTTTTCTTCACTTGATTCATCTGGCAAACAGATGCCCTGAAACCCACCAGCCCAAACCCCAGATCCCTTCTGCTTATGGGTGTGGCCCTTGGGATATCGGTGAAGGGAGAGAGGAGTGGGCGGAAGCCGGAGGAAAGCAGGGATGGGGAGACAGAGGGGATGAACGAGGTGGAGGAGACCCAGAGAAGACGGAAAGTGGCAGCCTAGTCCTCAGCGGCCTTTGCACCAAGTCTAGGTTTGGGACGCTCTGGGTAAGACCCCCCCCCCGAAGTGACTCTGGAAAACGCAGGGATAAGGAACCCAATATCCTCAGCAGTGCACACCCCGTTGTGGGAACAGGACAGCTCCTGCCGACGGCCACCCTCCCATGGTACTGTGGTTCGAGCACCCGGGAACACCCACGTGTGTGATTTGTGTTTGTGTTAGTGTTTTGAAGCGGGCCTTTTGGCTTCTCGGTCTTCCAAGCACACTTACTGAAATTGTTATGGATATTTTTATTGTCTGTGGTTGCCTTTGAGCTCTGATGAGGAAAGCAGAGGCCATAAAAGGATGAAAAAAAATATTTATACCACTCAATTACATCATGACTGTGTCTGTGTGGTTTTGTACGCAACTGACGGCCGTAAGTTACGGAGGAGGAAGGAAGAGTGCTGTGCGTTCCCGGAAATGGTCAGCCTGGATGGCATTTTCTAACAAACAGGGCAATGTGTGGCAGTGCAGGGAGTCAGAGGGTTTTGGCCTATAAGGCAAAGATTGCTCAATACCCAAGAAAAATCCTGACCCGAGGGCTTGTGAAATTGACCTTTTTGGAACTTCAGAAGGATTCTGAGGGGGCGGGAGAAGCTGGTAAGGGCGGACAGGCAGCTCGGCTCCTTTTTTACAGCTCTTGGCATTTGTAACTCTGTTACGGCCTTCATTCCAAGCCATACACTAATGCATGTTAAGGCCAATGAAATCTTGCCCAGGCCGGGCCTTGAGGGTGAGCTACTGAGCATGCTCAGAAGGCTTTCTGAGCATGATTGGTACTGCTCCAGTGACACGTGACATCCTTCCCAAAGTATGGACCACACTGATGCTAGGGGGAGATGAAAAAAAAAAAAAAAACGACAAGAACACTTCGAAAATAGAGGGGACAGCAGCCTACCTCCCCAGGAAGCTGGCTGCGGCATCTAGCTTGGATAGGTCCCTTGGAGATCAGCAGAACAGGGCAGCCACTGGCCTCGGCTTGTGGGCTGGCCCTGGGTTAAACCTGGGCCCTCTAACAAACATGCAGGCTTGACTGAGCCTGGAGCATCATTGCCCCGCCCTGAGCCTTCATCACCTTTTTTTTTTTTTTTTTTTTTTTTTTTTTGGTTTTTACGAGACAGGGTTTCTCTGTATTGTTTTGGAGGCTATCGGTCCAGCCCGGCCTCAAACTCACAGAGATCCACCTGCCTCTGCCTCCCGAGTGCTGGGATTAAAGGCATGAGCCACCACCCCCCAGCCCTTCATCACCTTTGACTAAGAGACATCAGCACTGCACTTACTAGTCCCTGGCCCAGCAAAGAGTACGGTTGTGTCCCCTCCCCCCAGCCCCTTCTGCTCTTGGCCACACTCTGCAAACCCTGCTCCCAGCTGTCAGGGCCACCCCTGTTCCCAAAGTCTTCTCCCACCTTCCTCCCTCGCACTTCATGACTCAAAACCAATTTCCGTTCCGGCTTCGGTGATTTCACCTTCCTTCCCTCTCTCTCTCTCTCTCTCTCTCTCTCTCTCCCTCCCTCCCTCCCTCCCTCCCTCCCTCCCTCCCTCCCTCCCTCCCTCTCTCTCTCTCTCTCTCTCTCTCTCTCTCTCTCTCTCTCTCTCTCTCTCTCTCAGCTTCTTCCCCTGAGGCTCACACTTCCCCTGCTGTCCAGACCCCCTGGTTCATGATTTCCCAAACAGGGTTAGCGCTGAAAAGAAGCATAGACAAAGAGACTAGTCAAGTGTTGCCAAAGTAGCGTCCTGTCAACTGCTAATCCCAGGAAACCCTCCATGACCTCCTTGTCTCTATGATCTGTCAGATTCCAGGATTTCTGTGCTCATGGCTGCCCCCAGGCCTGGGGGGCTACTGCCCTGTGGACTCCTTCGATGGCCTCTCATACATCTCCTCCCCCTACTGTGGCATGGCCTTTTGTCTCTCGTTTTTTTATTTTTGCAGGGCTGCTAACTAACATCTTGTTTCTAATTTCTGAAGAGCACATTTTTAAAAAGTGCTGATTAGATTAATTCCTTCCCTTAACACATGAGATTAATTTGTTAATCGTTGCCTCCCAAGTTGGTAAACACTGGAGGTCCTGACTCCCAGATGTCTGTCGGTCAGTCTCCACTTCCTTCACCAAAATAGGCCCTTCCGCCCTGGCGGCAGAACTGTAACCCCGCTAGCATAGGAACTGTGGGTCTGGGGTCTTTCCTGCTCTGGCTCCCTTTCTCCAACCCTCAGCCTGCTTCCCCTGTCTCTTCCAGTGCCTAGCACGTTTATCTGTGTGTATGGGGGAAAGAGTGGCTGAGTTTCAGCTTCAGCCTGTGGCTGTCCAGACATTGCACAGAACGATCTCTCGGGGAGGGTGGGGAGTTTGTCAGAACAAGAGGGAGCAGCCCTTTTGCTGTCTGCAATGGCTTCTGTGCCGCCATTTCATCTAGTTAAGCGTGGGTCAGGTCCTAGACACCCCAAGGATCGTGACACGTGGACATACAGCAGCTACCGGGAGACTGTCTCCTTTAAGACAGTCCCCTCTCAGCCTGGCTCCCTGGAAGACCAACTCACACGCATCTGTCAGACCAGGAAATGGAGGCTTCTCTATGTAGTACTCATCCCCCCCCCCCCCCCAAAAAAAAACTATAGCTCAGGCTGTCCTGGAACTCACTCTGTAGATCAGGCTAGCTTCAAACTCACAGTGATCCACCTGCCACAGTGATCCTGCCTCTGGAGTGCAGGAATTAAAAGTGTGTGCTGACACCACCTGAGCTCTTTTTTTTTTAGAAGTAGGAGCGAGGTACTCAGAAATAATCTGATTTTCATCGAAACAGTGCGCTGTGCCCTGGGCTGCGGGGGGCTGGGCCTCTCCATGAGGAGAAGCTTGAACACACCAACAGAAACCAATCTCTCTTCTCCCAAGACTACAAACTTGGAGAGAACCGAGTAGGCAGGGCCAGATTTGGGCGCAGTATCTGATAAGAAGCTTGGGGGTCCCACCGGCTCCTTTTCCTGATTCACCTTCCTCTCTGGTGTATTGGAGACGAGGAAGGCAGCAATGGCCTGGTGCCCAATTCCCCCTGCCCAGCCTCTTCACCTTGGGCCCCCTTCCCACGAGGCGGCTGCGTTATAACGAAGCCTTTCACTTTCTTCGCTGGAGTTCCATTAAGGAAATTTCTAGTTCCTCAATCATTCTCCATCAAGGGGTAAGGACTGCTGCAAAGTCTCCAGGGAGGCTTGTAAGGGCTGCTGGGCTTTCTTCCCATAGACCTCCAGCCAGCCGGTAGCCTTTTCCCAGGAGCTCTGCTGCTGGGGGGATGCCGGGAAGAACAGGCTCAAAGTCTCTAGTGCCCGTCAGAAGGTTGTGACCTGATTAGGATTCCAAGGTGAATTAAAAAAAAAAAGTTTGGGAACGGATCCAGGTGTCTACCTTCAAACCAAAGGGACTATACTAGGGATACTGGATGTCCAGATTGGCCTGCTTGGGAGGTCAAGGGGGCTCTGCCCTCACAGATACAGATATAGGGAGAATGATGAGTCAGAACAGCAGCTTTGCTTTGTGGACATGACCTCATTGTGCATACAACCTCCACCCGCCTCCGCTGATAAGAATCTGGTGCTGTTTCCTGTAGTCCAAGGGTCTAGGACAATGATGTGAACGGCCAGTCCAAATGGAAAGGGCATTGTTCAGAGGAGAAGAAAAAAAAAAACACCCCAACACAAAGCCAGGGCAGGATCTGTCTGAATGTAAGAGCCTGTTTACAAATCCACCATTTCCAAGGAGCGGAACACAATGGGGGATTGTTTCCTTGAGGATGGTGTCCCTTCTAGTCTGGTCCTGATGGCTAGGGATGGCTTTGATGGCCCAGACAGGTTTCAGATGGACTTAGACGGATGGACACTGATGGCGCGGATGCCTTCCTGTTTACCAGGCATGCATGCAGGCTAAGGGGTCAAGAATGCAGGGTCGAGGGGGGAGGGGCTGTCAGGCTTCACCCCTCCATCTGGGCCTCATGATGTCCGGTCCTGTAAAATGGAGTTTCCTTGCTTAGTCACGAAGGAGTCTTCTTTCATCTGGGGGCCTCCATGATGCTGTGATTCACCTCCTGCCTGCCTGGATCACGGGGTGGATGATGGTGTTGATGGTTGTGTCAGGGCCAGTGGAGATGCGGCCTTTCATACCATCTCTGTCCTGTCCATGCCTCTGGACCATCAGCCGCACATGGTGTGTGTGTGTGTGTGTGTGTGTGTGTGTGTGTGTGTGTGTGTGTGTGTGAAGTATCCTTTGGGACCGGAAGTCACCGGTTGGTGGTGGAGGAAGGCAAGCCAGGGTAGTGTCATTGTTGGCTTTAATACTCATCTCTAATCCTAACATAAATACACCTCATGAGTAAACTTCAGCTAATGTGTTTAGAACAAGTGAGGCATGCCGGGCGTTGGTGGCAGAGGCAGGTGGATCTCTGTAAGTTCGAGACCAGCCTGGACTACCAAGCGAGTTCCAGGACAGCCTCCAAAGCCACAAAGAAACCCTGTCTCGAAAAACCAAAAAAACAAAACAAAACAAAACAAAACAAAAACAAACAAACAAAAAAAAACAAGTGAGGCACATTCACGCTGTGTAATTCCCCAAACAGAAGCAAGCTTGTCATACATATAGTCTTATTCCTCAACGTGGTAACACTGCCCTCTGGTGTTTAATACCAGAAAAGCACGATCAGGGACCCAGTGTGGATAGATGGCAAACTGCCAGGGAAGGTGGCTGGCTGGGCTGGGCACCACAAACAAGAATGGCTAACAAAACAGGTCTCTGACGGCAAGTGACTTCCAATCCAGCAGTAGAGACAGACCTACAACTGCAGGATTGACTGAGGACATATCCTACAAGGCCACAAGCAGAGACCAGAAGTGAGAAGCCCATGACAAGGAGGTGGCCATTGCATTCAGTTCTACAGGCTGAGGATGAAAGTTAGGTCTCTCCGCTTTGGAGTTAGGGCTCTCTGCTTTGGAGTCAGGGCTCTCCATTCTGGAGGGAGTCAGGGCTCTCCATTCTGGAGGGAGTCAGGGCTCTCCATTCTGGAGTGAGTCAGGGCTCTCCACTCTGGAGTGAGTTAGGGCTCTCCCCTCTGGAGTGAGTTAGGGCTCTCCACTCTGGAATTAGGATTCTCCACTCTGGAGTCAGGGCTCTCCACTCTGGGGACCTGAAGCCCAGATGTTCAGAAATGAACAGGGCAGAATGCCCATGGGTGGGGTGTTGTGGGAGATGTAGCTGTTCAGGGCCCTATTCGCAAAAAGGCCACAGATACCAATCCTAAACAGAATCTACCCCGTGTCATACGGTTACCAGTGGAAGGAAAAGGGGTGTGTCTGAGATGAACACTGGCAATGGCAGAAGAGAACAAAAATGTGAAAAAGATGAACTGACAAGAAAGGAGGTTGGTCAGGGAGGAAAGCAGAATAAAATCCTGAGGCTTCTGACTTTCACTTATGGAAGAAGGACAGGGGAGCATGGGCCTTGGAAGAATTTCACTGAATGTTTATTTCTGTCCTTCACAAAGGAATCATTTCTTCAGATTCTCAGTTATGAAATAGCCATTAGTAGAATAGGCACATCTATTACTAATTTGTTCTAATAGACACATCTGTTATGAAAAAAACATTTAAAATATACAAGGTAAGCCAGGAGGTGTTGGTGCACGCCTTTAATCCCAGCACTCGGGAGGCGGTGGCAGGCAGATCTCTGTGAGTTCGAGGCCAGCCTGGTCTACAGAGTGAGTTCCAGGACAGGCTCCAAAACAATACAGACAAACCGTGTCTCAAAAAACAAACAAACAAACAAACCAAACAAAAAAAGATGAGTTGGTGTTATGTAGTATACTGGGTAGAAATCTGAAACAAAAGAAAAATATAGGGAAAAACGAAGAAAAGCTGAATGTGTGGATTTAGTAATTATTATGTATCTATATTGGTTTATTTGTGGTGGGAAATTTACCATGTGAATCTAAGACACCAGTTCTGGGTTTGGATGTGTGAGGATTCTCTACACTATTGTAGGGAAGAGAGCACGTATCCGCAGCTGACCACCCCGCCTTGGGGCGTGGTCATAGGTACGTGGGAGGATTCAGGGGATAAGAGATGGTGGAGGGGGCACTCTCTCTCTCTCTCTCTCTCTCTCTCTCTCTCTCTCTCTCTCTCTCTCTCTCTCGGCCAGGCCAAGGTTAGGAGACCATAGAGTGCTAACCCAGTTCTCAGTTTTCATGTAAGTTACTTCCATCTATCTTGATAAATATCTACCTTTTCCCCGGCATCCTTAGTGTGACTCCTTTTCTTGTTACACACTATCTTTACATTTTCCCCTATAAACTGTTTTGTTTTTTTAAAGATTTTATTTATTATTAGTTATGTATACAGCATTTGCCTACGTGTATGCCTGTGTGCCAGAGAGGGCACCAGATCTCATTATAGACGGTTGTGAGCCACCCTGTGGTTGCTGGGAATTGAACTCAGGACCTCTGGAAGAGCAACCAGTGCTCTTAGCCTCTGAGCTGTCTCTCTAACACCGTGGCCACCCCTCCTTAGCCTCTGAGCTGTCTAACACCGTGGACACCCCCCTTACCTCCAAACTGTTTTAAAATAAAAGTTTGGTTTAAGTGGCTAGAGAGACGGCTCAGGGGTTGAGGACATTTGTTGCTCTTCTAGAGGACCCAGAATGGCCACTCACAACCGTCTAGTTCCAGGGGATCCTACTCACTTCTTCTGACTTCTGTGGGTGCCAGGCACAGAGGTGGTTCCCATAAATACATTCAGGCAAAACATCCATGTGTATAAAATAAGTCTTTAAAAAGTTTGTTAAAGAGAATCAGGGTATCTAGTAGAAAACAATTGGCTTGGTCCGGAGAAAGAGTATTATAAAATTTGATTTTTCTGGCCTGTAAGAATGGGATTAGGGGGCTGGAGAGATGGCTCCGCCGTTAAAGGCTGGGCTCACAACCAAAAACATAAGGATGGAATTAGGGGCTGATATCAGTGGAGAGTATAAGTGTAGAGTAAGATATGGTCGATAGGGGTGTGTGCGTGTGCGCGTGTGTGCGTGTGTGGGCGCGCGTGTGCATGCATGAAACCAGATGCACACAGAGCGAACACCTGGGTGTAAAACCATCCTGCACTTCTACCATAAACTCTGCCTTTTAATCAAAGTGAGAGTTTCAGGATCACTGCTGAGAAGTCATCATTTTAGGTCAAGATGATGGTTTCTTGAATTTTATTTATTTATTTATGGTTTTTCGAGACAGGGTTTCTCTGTATTGTTTTGGAGGCTGTCCTGGAACTCACTCCATAGACCAGGCTGGCCTTGAACTCACAGAGATCCGCCTGCCACCGCCTCCCGAGTGCTGGGATTAAAGGCGTGGGCCACCAACGCCTGGCTAGTTTCTTGCATTTTAGTATTATACAGATTGATTCCTATAAACAGAAAGGTGCTAACACCAATCTCTAAGACAGTATCCCTTATAATGACTCTAGGTTAAGATAGTAAAGACAGCTGGGCGTTGGTGGCGCGTGCCTTTAATCCCAGCACTCGGGAGGCAGTGGCAGGCGGATCTCTGTGAGTTCAAGGCCAGCCTGATCTACAAGAGTGAGTTCCAGGACAGCCTCCAAAGCCACAGGGAAAGACAGTAAAGCCAGGCACTTGATGGTACATACCTTTAATCCTAGCACTTGGGAGGCAAGACCTTTTTTGAGTCGGAGGCCAGCCTGGTTTACAGAGTGAATTTCAAGACAGCCAGAGCTACACACAGTGAAACTTTGTCTGCAAAACCAAAACCAAACAAAAAAAAGTCAGCTAAATTAATGGTGGCTCAAACCTGTCATTTTAGCACTTGAGAGGCTGAGGCCAGCCTAGGCTACAGTGAGTTCCAGGCCAGCCTGGGCTGCAGAACAAGACGTGTCCTGCCCTGCAAACCTATGAAGTAGAAAATGAAGAAAAAGGGCCCCTGGGATAGTGTTGTTCAGAAGGCCCCGGAGCAGCCAGCTTCGGCTGGGCTGTAGGAGCCAGCCCAGGAAAGAGGTGCAACTGACAACGATGTACTACTAGAATTAGCAAGGAAAGAGGCGGTGACGGTACCCACCTTTAATGCCAGCACTCTAGAGGCAGAGACAAGCAGATGTCTGTGTGTTTGAGGCCACCCTGGTCTTCCTATACAGCAAGTGCTAGGCCAGCCAGGGCTACTACACATAGAGACAGTCCTAAAACACAAACAGTGCCTCTCTGCCCACACCCCTCCTCCCAAACCCAAAAGAAAACAAAACAAAAAAAGGGTAGTTACTAATTTAGGGAAAGAAAAGTTAAAACATGATGCACTGTCTGGATCAATAGTAAATCACATTATCATAGTCATGAGAATATAAATTATCATGGGAGATTGAAAACGGGGGAGTTTCCTAAGGTGCTAACCCCATTGTGACATAAGAAATAAGTAAGGTATAATATTACTAAATCAAGAAACTGCTTAAAGATGGCAGTAGCTGCCTTTAGGAAATAGGACTAGGAATAGAGAAGGGTGAGTTACGAGTGGTTTTCATTATTATCCTTTTAGGACTTAATAGTCTAATGACTCTCATAAGCATGCAAGTGCTGGAGGGTGAGCCAGGACCCTGCACATGGTAAACGTGTGTCCTGCCACTGAGCCGCACTCCCAGGCACTACAGGCTTTTAAATGAACGTATTACAGATTTTAAAATATACACATTACACATTAAAAAGAGCACATTCCTTTCCTGTATATTTTCACAGTGGCAACAGTGCTTATGCTTTTCAAGTGGGCCAAGTCAAATCTGAAGGCACCCATCACACACATCTTGGGTCCAAGTCTGCAGGATTTAGCAATATTTGAAATGAGAGCGCTGTCCTCCACTGCTAGCGACAGTGACTCACTGAAACCTTGGGAACTCAGGGTGTGGCAATGCTCTGAGTTTCTCCCACTAACCCCAGCCCCATGAAATCATTAAGAACATACAAACAATGTAAGATAGGCTCTATCCAGTTCCTCCCCAGGCCCTCTGCCAGATTCCCATGCTGGCCGCCTTGCCAAACGTGGATGTTGTGGTGGGCAAGCTCATGGTTTCGCTAGTCAGAGACACCCCAGCCCAGGCGGTGGGGCTTCCAGTGGCTGTCTGTAGCTACAGAGCTAAGGCCACACTGGCTAGGGTGAAGGGAGTTACCCAACGTAATCATGGCAACCCTGTTATGCTGAGTCCAGGGGCCCCCTCCTTGCCACAAGGGTCTGTTCTCAGACGGAAGTGGACTGCTAAGCTGACTCATTGACCAGAAGGCATGCACTTATTTGCACGAGGGTGACACTTTACGCCCATACGATTCACAGTTACCCTGCAAGCTGATCCCTTCTCAAAGAACGCATCTATGCTCCATGTTCGATATCATGTTCGATAGTTTAGTGGCTCATTTTGGGGACCGGAAGCCTGAGTCCTCTTATTCCTTCACTCTGCCCTCCAGGTTCCTTAAGGTACTAGAGAGAGTCCAGAGCAAATTGGTAAGGAGCTACCACTGGAGACAACTTTATTGCACAGTGAACGAGAGCAGGCGTATGAAAACCATCCACGCTGGAGGAGTCTTGGTGAGGGAGGACGGAATTGGGGAGAAAGAGCCGAGGTGCCCTATGCTCAGCTGTTGGCATGTAGACCCGGTCAGTTCTACTCTCAGCCCCCCCACCCCCAGACCTCTCCACTTGGCTGGTCATCTCACTGCTGGCCCCCCGAGTCTCATGATTTCAAAGTGCCACCTCCAAACTGATGCAGCAGCGCTGTTCCGTACCCCACTGCCCTTGGCAGCCACTACTCTGAAGCTGTGACTTGGGCTTTTTGCAGTTCTTAGTGGTTCTGACTCCTTTGGATCTCCAGGAGTGGCTTCTGCCACCAGAGGACTCGGGCTTTTCTCACAGGGATGGCTGGAGCCACTCAGCGCAGGAAGAGCCCCAATTCTCTTCCAGGTTGGTGGCCCTGAAGAAAAGCTCCTGGGGATGCAAGGTCCAGCTGCAGCAGGGGATGTCACTCGGGTCTTCAGATATGTAACCTGTGATGAAAGGAAGAGAAGGGAAGGCAAACTCAGCCTTTGTTTCTCGTGTACGGGTCCTTAAACCCCTCATCAGCTACTTTGCTTCCAAAGCTCCTCTCTGGGACGTGCTTTCTCCACTCCCAGGCATGACAAGTCTCCGCCCCATCCCAGTACTCACACTAGACCATCCTTCCAGCCCCGCCCATGGCGGAAGTCTCCACCCCATCCCAGTACTCACACTAGACCATCCTTCCAGCCCCGCCCATGGCGGAAGTCTCCACCCCATCCCAGTACTCACACTAGACCATCCTTCCAGCCCCGCCCATGGCAGAAGTCTCCACCCCATCCCAGTACTCACACTAGACCATCCTTCCAGCCCTGCCCATGGCGGAAGCAGGTGAGCACTCATCACACTCCCATTTTTTGCTGTTGGGTCTAAGAGAGGAGCAGCCTCGGTGGGTTCCGTGGGACCCACAGGTAGCGCACAGAATGAGACGCCACCGCCTACAGAAGAGTCAGGGAGAGATGCAGGGTCAGTCAAGGACACCGACTGTCACTTCTGAATGCTACGGGCCACTCAGCCTCAGCCAAGGAGTTTTATTTTTATGTGTGTTGGTGTTTTGCCCCCGCCTGCATGTACATGTACCATGTGCAAATAATGCCTATGGCAGCCAAAGAAGGTGTCAGAATCCCTAGGACTAGAGCTGCAGACAGCTGGGAGCTGTGATGTGGTTGGTGAGCCTGGGTCTTTTGGAAGAGCAGCTGATACTCTTAACCACTAAGCCATCTCTCCAACCCCAAGGGCATTTTAAATTAGTTTAATTTTACTATACACATTTATTACACTCCCTGTCTCTGGGATGCTGAGCGTTGATTCTTAGAGGTGACAGGCAGGCACATCCCCCGGCAGGATGAGTATGGAAGGAACTGACCCCGAGTATCTCTCCACTGGGCACAGACAGCAGGCCCTGCAGGGGAGACCTACCCATTTGTGCATGAATAAGTCAAGGGCTGGTCAAAAACAGGACTTTGGCAACTAGGGGTTCATCTAGAGGGCTGTGGAAAAGAGCAGACTTCCTGCTTTAACGACAGTGCCGAGACCTAAGGTGACGCTCACGGCCCAAGGGGCCTCTTCCTACCCTTCGTCCTCAAAGTTGTCTCTGCCTTGTTTGTACAGACAGACGGGGGCGTCACAGTGCTGATAGCTCTGATACAGCTCTGAGAAAGCCCCTGGCTCCAGCTCCCAAGCAGCATCTCTGCAGGGGGAAAGAAGATGTGAGGGGACACAGTCTGCAGGTGAGCCTCTGTCTCCCCACAGCAGGAAGCCGAAGGCTGCCTGAGCACTGCCCATGGGGATGAGAGAAGAGGACTGACCCATGAGTGGACGCGGGGGTCCTTAGTCCCACCCTGCAGTTCAAACTCCCCGTCCCCAGAAACTTCCGCTTTGTTTTAAAGCGCCTTTTCAGGAATATGCCTTCTGCCCACTCCCCGCCCCCCTCCCCTTGGCGACTGAGAAGTACTCTTCTCACTTCACGGTGCACAAGCATGTCAGCCGCTGCCTGTCTGAGCTGTCCGCACATTCACCCCCGTCTGGAGGTGCACACAACCCACCCCCTGGCCCAGTTCCCGCTGTACAGTGGCCCACTACCTGTCGGGAATGTGAATCCCCATCCTCAGCATCTCTTGCGGAAACTCTTCTCGGTTGTTGCACTGCGGGCACTTGAAGAAGTGCTTTGCTGACGTGTGGGCATATTTCTGCGGGAGAAGAAGGGGTCAGTGGAAACCGTCAGGCCCCTTTCCCACGCCCATCCTCACCTCAGGGGAGCTCAGGGGAGGCAGTTTGGGTGTACTAGGATGAAGGCTACCACCAGGTGTCAGACCCATGACCAGAACACTTCTGAAGCGTTCCCAGGGGGTGCCTCAGTTGTCATCTCTGCCTGTGGGACCTGGTGGTGCTGGCTCAGCAGGAGTCAGGTACTTGGATTCCCTTTTCTTGCATCCAGGTAGTGAGGCTGGTTTTGAGCTCCTTGACTCATCCTTGGAAATATTTTGTTTGATGATTTTGCCTCGTCTTTATCATAAATGAGGCCCTGGGCCAAGGATAACCAGAGACTGGGTTGACTAATTCCCTCACTGACCTGGAAGCAGTTCCCGTGTACAGGCCTGCGGTGTGCTGTTCTGAAGCTTAGACATGCCTGAGCATTCCCAAGCACAGGGCCAGGGCAATCATGGAAGGTCCCCCCAGAGCAGAGAAAGCCCACCTGGATACACTTCCGGTGGTAGACAGGTTGACTACAGCATGGGCTCTGGATATTCTCAACACTTGTTTGGGATAAGTCTTCGCAACACAAGACGCAGCTTTCCTCCCCCAGGCTCCCCTGTTGGATGTTCTGTGTTGGGCGATGTTTTCCACAAAATGATCTGTGGTGGGTAAACAGACTTGGGTTTCTGGCCTGCCCCTGACGCAGATTCCCAGCTGCCTGACCTAGGAAGGGCACTCAGCCATTTGCTTGGTGCCCGGTGAACGTCTATCTATGCCGCTCCAAAATGCAGGTGAAGAAACACTGCATGACTTCTCACGGCTTCTTGCCCAGGGAGCAAAGATCCAAGGACTGTCTCCATAGTCTCCCGTTACTGAGAGCCCTCGTTAGTTATGAGCAGCTGTCTAAGAGCCCCAGCTGTTTGTAATTTAAGGAGGGGACAGGAAGCAAGAAGAAAACCCCTGTGAAACTTCCAAGTCAAGGCACTATTTCCCATTATTAAGTGGAGGGACAGATTTGCTGGAGAATCAACACCATCTCGTGAGAACTGGGTTCTGATCTCACTGGAGTCTACACAACAGGTTGCAAAAGGGCATCCAACTCCAGTCTCCTTCCTCACTCACTTGTACTCTCCAAAAAATTGTGAAAGGCAACCCCTCTCTTGGCCGCAAGGCAGATGGAAGTTTTTGACGCACTGATCATTCTGGCATTTGATGGCAGCTCCCTTTTTCTTGCACACAAAGCAGATCTGCAAATGAGATTCCAGAAAGTGTTTTGTGACCCGAGAAAGACAAACAGAGGTTGTGGTTCTTCTTCCTACAGACTGGAAATTCTGGGAAGCAGCAGCTATCCCCTTTCCCTCAGGGGTCCAGGGTACCCTCGAGCTGAACTTCAGGAAGCACTGAATTTTCTTATTCTCTCAGGGTGCTGCTTCTGCTCTTTGCTTAGGAAACATTCCAGAAGAGATGGGACATAAGAGAAAGGCTGGGGCTATGGGGGTAGTTCAGTTGTAGAGCGCTTGATTATCATTACCCCAGCCCTGGGTTTGACTCCCAGGGACAGACAGATGGACAGACAGACAGACAGACAGACAGACAGACAGACAGACGGATTCTGAAACACGAATGAGAAGAGGCCTACCCCAAGGTCCCCATATCAAGGACTTCTAACCTTCTTAGAAGCCCGGACTGCCTCCTTTTTGATGTCTTCCAGCATGAACCCATGGAGACCTCTGTTGGATTGGCCCTTCTGAGGCAGCTTGCTAGATAGGATCTGTGGAGCAGCAGAACCAGGCTGTCAGTATAAGACTGTCAGCGACACACAACAGCAGCGTGATGATGGCCAAAGAAGAGAACTAAGACGTGGAGTTTGGTGGAACGCATGTGTGTATGTATATAGTGTATGTGTATAAGACAACTTATTTAATAAAGTCTGATACAATGGTATGTACTGGACACTCCGGCACTTTCTGACCACTAACTTTTTTGACAACCCAATAAGGAGAAACATAACTTTAGTTAAAGACCACTGGGCTTCAGAACCAGTGCCTTTAGGCACCACTGTTCTGTCTGCGCTAAGAGCTGCCGCCGCCACTATGTGAATGCTGGGGACATGTTCTCTCTAGATTGCTTCACTTCATGCTCATGGAAACTACGTCACACAGAAGCTGTTGTGCTTTTATCTTACAGAGGAGGCCACTGAAGCATAATGTGGCAATCGGCAGGACTGGAGTCCCAGGGCAAGGAATGACAAGCATTCACGCTTGGGCTACAGAACCCATACGCTTGCACCTTCTGCTGCGTTCCCCTTTAGTACAGGACGTTCCTTTCAGAGTATTTTTTTTCTCTGAGTATTACAGGAAGGTAAATGGGATTTTAAAGTCTCCTCTTTAGTGGCCATTCTGCATTAATAGGAAAAGGTTAGGAGTTGCACTTTTAAAGGCATACTTCAAAGGTCTGTCTGATTCTTTAAAAGTGTCCAGAAATAAGAATATTTCAAAAGTATTAGGGTATTGTGCTTCTTGCAGTGGTTATAAAATGTGTAATGGGAGCTTAGGTTATGTATCTAACTTATTTTTTAAAAGATTTCTTTAATGCGAATGAGTGTTTGTCTTCATGTATGTGTGTGTGTGCAGTCCCTGAGATTAGAAGAGTGGTCAGAAACACTCCAACTGGAGTTACAGATGTTTGTGACAAGACATCAGGGTTCTAGGAACCAAGCCCTGGCCGTCTGGGAGACCAGTGAATACTCTTAAGCACTGAGCCATTTCTCTAGCAGCAATATTTATTTTTGAGACAGCCTTTCTGTGGAGTCAAAGCTGGTTTTGAACTGGTGAAACTCCTGCTTCCGTCTTCCAAGTCTATCAGGTAAATCCTACTTTAACATGATAGAGAGATGGTCCTATGTGAGATGACTTGGCTATAGCTCAAGGTTCCTAATGATGCTTAAAGCATCTCACACATTTTATCACTATCTCAAGGCTTCATCATAATGAGGGATTTTTGTTTTATATTTTAAATATTAGACATGTTTTTTTTTAATGAAGGACATGTGCTATTTTTGTTGCTTTGTTTTTCAAGACAGGGTTTCTTTGTGTAACAGTCCTGGCTGTCCTGGAGTTCACTCTGAAGACCAGGCTGCCCTTGAAGTCATAGAGATCTGCCTGCCTGTGTCTCCTGAGTACTGGGATTAAAGTCATGCTCCTCACATGACCAAGAATGTCCTACTTCTATAAACAAAAACAAAGCGATAAAGAACAGAAACAATTTAAATGTCATTTAAAAAAAATTGAGACAGGAAGCCGGGCGTTGGTGGCGCACGCCTTTAAACCCAGCACTCGGGAGGCAGAGGCAGGCGGATCTCTGTGAGTTCGAGGCCAGCCTGGTCTACAGAGTGAGTTCAGGGACAGCCTCCAAAGCCACAGAGAAACCCTGTCTCGAAAAACCAAAAAAAAAAAAATTGAGACAGGGTTTCTCTGTGTAACCCTAGCTGTCCTGGAACTTGCTACATAGACCAGGATGGCCTCAAACTTACAGAGATCTGCCTGCCTCTGTCTCCCAAGTGCTACAACTAAAGACATGTGACACCATGCCAAGCTTCTTTTTTTTTTAATGATTTTTTTTTTTTTTGGTTTTACGAGACAGGGTTTCTCTGTTTTGGAGGCTGTCGGTCGAGCCTGGCCTCGAACTCACAGAGATCCGCCTGTCTCTGCCTCCCGAGTGCTGGGATTAAAGGCGTAGGCCACCAACGCCCGGCTTAATGATTTATTTTTATTTCACATGCTTTGGTGTTTTGCCTGAATGTGTGTGTGTGTGTGTTTGTCAGGTTCCCTGGAACTGGAGTTACAGACAGTTATGAGCTGCCATGTGGGTGCTGGGAATTAAATCCAGGTCCTTTGGAAGACTATCTAGTGCTCTTATGCCAAGCCATCTCTCTAGCCCATGGTTTTAAATTTTGGATAGCTACTTATTTTTTGAGTCTTGTATAACCCAGGCTGACTCTGAACTGATGACTATCTGCCTCCCCAGTGCTGGGGTTATAATCGGGCACTGTCATGCCTGGCTCTAAATGCTCTTCAACTGGAGTGTGATGTAAATAATGAAACACCAGTCAGTTATTTAAAAACTAGGTTTACATGTTGAATATGGAGAGAGCTCCAAAATACCTGTGATGGAAAGAAAACCCTACAAAACTTTGTTTATGTTTAATTTTATGTTAAAATGTATATGCACCAGAGTTAACCAAGCCCTAACACCTAGCAGGATTTACAGGAAGGGAAAATCAGGGGTCAATTTTTCTCATGAGGATAGATATAAAAAAAATGAAAAGATTAGTAAGTTGAATTCAGCCCCATATTCAAAGAATAATACTACATGACCAAGAAGGGCCTGTACCACGAATGCAAGATTAGTTTAACATCAGGCAATCCAGTTGGTATAACAAACCATAAAGAGAGAAAAATCAAGATCATGTCAGATGCCAAAAACATTCTCAAAACTCATTACACACTTGTGATATCCTCAGCAAACTAGGAATAAGAGAATTTCAATCTGACAAAACATACCTATGAAAAAAGTTTAAAGCTAATGTATTTATAATGATGAAAAACTAGATGCTATCACCTAATGCTGGGACAAAGGCATGGATAACGATTTATACTACTTCTACTGAACATTAGGTTGAAGGCCCTAGCTAGTTACAAAAGGCAAGAAGAAATAAAAGACAAAACTGGGGTCTGGAGATGTAGCTCAGTCAGTAGAGTAGTTGCTTAAAAAGTATAGGGTCCTAGGTTCAATCCTTACCACAACATTGCAGAAGACAAAGGCTCAGTTCCCCATATCCACCTTGTGGCTCACAACCTTTTATAACTCCAGCTCCAGGGGATCTAACCCACTCTTCTGGCCTCCTCAGGCACCTGGCACGCTCATGTAGCCAAAACACACATGCATATAAAATGATTTTCCAAGCAAACACACTGAGCTAGTGGCAAGCGTGTGTGATCTCAACACCTGAGAGTCAGAGGCAGGGGAGCTGGAAGAGAGATGGCTTAGTCAGTAAAGGCTCGTGGCACAAGCATGGAGACCTAAGTTCAGATCCTCATCCGGGATGTAGAAAGCTGGGGCTGGTCATGTGTGCCTGTAATCCTGTCACTAAGGAGGCAGAGGCAGAAGGATCCATGGAGCTTGATGGTCAGATGTTCTTGCCAGATTGGCGTGCTCCAGTATCCTGTGTGAATAAACAAGATGGACAGAGACAGAGGACAGCTGATGCCAGCCCCATCCCCACGTGATACATGCACACATGCATGGACCTGTACATGCGTACACTCCCTCCCCACAGCACGCAAGGAAAAAAGGAAGTCCAAGATCACACTCAAGCTGCAGGGTGAGTTGAAGGCCGTCGTGGGCTACATGAGATCCTGTCTTTTAAAAAGGACAAAACTTGGAAAAGAAGCAGAACCGTCTTCATTTACATATGATACTGACTATAGATACAGAGAACCAGAGAATCCCAGAAGAAACAAACACAGTTTTTGTTGAATTTGTAAGTGAATTTAACAAAATCATAGAATACAAAATCAATATACAAAAGAATTACATTTCTATAGTTCAGCAACAAAATATTTTAAATATTTAACAAAAGATGCACAATTCTACCCTTTCAACAGGACTGCAGAACATTATGAAAAAAAAGGTATTGTGAAATATTAGTTTAAGATGTGTTACATTCATCTATGCTGTAGAATAGTTTGATGATGCAAAAATATGTTGCATTTGTTTAACTCTGTAAAGCTGTGTTACTTTGCCTGTCTAAAACACCTGATAAGATCTAATAAAGAATTGAACGGTCAATAGCTAGGCAGGAGAGACACAGGTGGGGCTGCCAGCAGAGAGAATAAATAGGAGAGAAATCTAGGCTCAAGAGGGAAGAGTGAGAAAAGGAGGAGAGGAGGACACCAGGGGCCAGCCACCCAGCCTCAGCCACACAGCCACACAGCCATCCAGCCACCCAGCCACCCAGCCTCACAGCCACCCAGCCTCACAGCCACCCAGCCTCAGCCACCCAGCCTCACAGCCACACAGCCACCCAGCCTCCCAGCCTCACAGCCACCCAGCCTCACAGCCACCCAGCCTTCCAGCCTCACAGCCACCCAACCTCCCAGCCTCCCAGCCACCCAGCCTCCCAGCCACACAGCCACCCAGCCACACAGCCACCCAGCCTCACAGCCACACAGCCTCACAGCCACACAGCCTCACAGCCTCCCAGCCACCCAGCCTCACAGCCACACAGCCATCCAGCCTCCCAGCCTCCCAGCCTCACAGCCACCCAGCCTCACAGCCACACAGCCTCACAGCCACACAGCCTCCCAGCCTCCCAGCCACCCAACCTCCCAGCCTCACAGCCACCCAGCCTCACAGCCTCACAGCCACCCAGCCTCACAGCCACACAGCCTCACAGCCACACAGCCACACAGCCAGCCACTGGGTAAGAAGTTAAAAAAGATATATAGAGCCGGGCATTGGTGGCACACATCTTTAATCCCAGCACTCGGGAGACAGAGGCAGGTGGATCTCTGTGAGTTCGAGACCAGCCTGGTCTACAAGAGCGAGTTCCAGGACAGCCTCCAAAGCCACAGAGAAAACCTGTCTCAAAAACAAAACAAAGAAAGAAAGGTATATAGAGTAAAAAGTTCAGAGACAAAACGTAGTTAAAGAGAAACAGGATAATTTAAGTTAGAAAATCTGGCTAGAAACAAGCCAAACTAAGGCTGGGTATTCATAAGAATAAGTGTGCATTCATTTGGGAGCTGGGTGGTGGGCCCCCAAAGAGTAAAACAAACAAACAAAAAAACTAAACCCAACTACAGGAAGGATTTGAGCCAGGTGGTGATGAATCACGCCTTTAATTACAGCACTCAGGAGGCAGAGGTAGGTGGATCTCCGAGTCTGAGGTCAGCCCGGTCTACAGAGTGAGTTCAGGACAGCCAGGGCTACACAGAGAAACCCATCTTGAGAAAAACAAACAAACAAACAAAAAACAAAAAAGAAAGGAATTGATACCCAAAAGACTGTAAAATTTTACATATTTAATTTAAGGACACTATACAACCACAAAAATTACAGCAGTGGAGTGCTAGTATATGAATAGACACATATAGACTAATAGTATAAATAGATTACCCAGATTCACAAATACATATATGGCCAATTGATGCTGATAAAGACATCTAGGAACTTTAGTGGTATTTAAGTACTACTTAGGACACACAAAAAGTGCTACCCGTAAAAGAAAAACTGATAAATACAACATCAAAATTTTTAAAAGATTTCAAAAGACACTATTAGAAATAACATATACGGCCGGGCATTGGTGGCGCACGCCTTTAATCCCAGCACTCGGGAGGCAGAGGCAGGTGGATCTCTGTGAGTTCGAGGCCTGGCTAGACCGATAGCCTCTGAAACAATACAGAGAAACCCTGTCTCGTAAAAACAAAAAAAACAAAACAAAAAAAACAAGGAAACAAAAATATAAGTAGCTCTTACAATCCAGCAGGACATAAGAATCCAGTTTCTTTTCTTTTTCTTCCTCCTCCTCCTTTTGAGACAGGGTTTTGTGTGTGTGTGTGTGTGTGTGTGTGTGTGTGTGTGTGTGTGTGTGTGTGTGTGTGTAGCTGTCCTGGAACTCGCTCTGTAGACCAGGCTGGCCTTGAACTCACAGAGATCCATCTGCCTCTGCCACCCAAGTGCTAGGATTAAATGTGTGTGCCACCATGCCCAGTTTATAATGCAGTTTCTTTTAATGGACAAAAATATTCAAATAGTTCAAAAGAAAATATGTCAATAAGCACACGAAAAACTCAGCATCTTTATTCCTCAAAGAAATACAAATTAAGAGCGCAGTAAAACGCCAGTAGCACCCACTAGGTAGGCTGAAGTGAAAGAGACTGGGAATACCAAGTTTTGGTAAAAAACTGTCAGCTTCAACTCTCATAAATTGCTAATGGGTGTGTAAACGGTACAACAACTTTGGAAAGATGACTTGGCAACATCACACATGTATATTTACAGGTAATCAGTAATCCCACTCCTAGACATCTGCCCAAGAGAAGGAAGAACACATGTCACAAAAAGACTTGCACATGAATGTTCTTAGCAGCTTTATTCAGAAAAGTCTAGCAAAGTAAAACAAGTCAAATGTCTACCAACCGTTGACAAGATAACTTTAACAAGCTCAAGCACCATTGGGAACATCGTTTCAGCAGCAGATGTAAGCCAGGGTTAGTGGAATCTGAGTCTGAGGAGGAAAGGAGGCCAGAGGAAGCAGGAGAGGAGCTCATCAGTCTAATAAACGTCTATGGCTACTTTAGGCTCTGGCAGGCAAATGAAAGACAGGGAGAGAGAGAGACCAAGTAGGAAGGAGACATCCTTAAAAGTGTGGCAGTAAAGAATTTACAGGGGCAGCAGGAGGAGCAATTTCGCCAGAGTGAGGATTCCAATAGCACAGGAATGGAGACACAGGGAGGGACAGGCAGGATCTCAATGTGAAGGCATCCCCAGGAGACCAAGACTTGTCCACACTGATGGGGAGCACAGGAGGGTGTAAGGAGGCCTGCCTGGTACACCAGTGTGACTTTTGCACTGGGCTCTAGAAAGCCAGAGACAGAGCACGGAGCTCAGAGAGGATCCTGACTGAAAGACAAGGCAATAGAGCAGGTGGAGGAGAATGGCTGGAGAGGCAGACTCTACCTACGGACTTTGTAGTCAAGTATGATAGGAGCCAGGAGTCACAGAAGAGCGAATGTTTTCCACCCAGGAGGGCAAAATCAATAGTTGGTTTACAAGAGGCGGAGCCCCTTTAGGGTGGGGCTCAATGTTTCTTCCCTTGTTTCTGCACTAGATGTAAGCGAGGGTGAAACCACCCGAAAAAACGTTGGGAATATGAAACTGCTGCATGGCCATCTCTCGTGTGATAGAGGACAGACAGTGATAAGGAGCTGTGTTTTGTCAAGAGGAAGGTGAGTCAGCTGGCACAGCCTGGGAGCTAGCATGGGGCTCTGATCTGCTGGAGGCTTGCTCCAGTTAATAGGGAACTAAATGCCCTTTCTGGAGGCAGGTGGCCGGTATGTGTGTGTGTGTGTGTGTGTGTGTGTGTGTGTGTGTGTGTGTGTGTGTGTGTGTGGGTGGTGTGCAGAGAAGGGAAGTAATGGCTTTTCTTGACAAACAGAAACCCACTTTACAAGGTTTACAAGTTTTCTGAGGAATTCGGATTTTAAGTCATAATCCTTCTGTTTACCTGGTCAGGGTCCAGTCTGAGCTGGGCACAGACTGTCAGTTTGGGGGTTGGGACCTAACAAAGAATATAAGCAAAATAAAAGTAAAACAGTATGTAAAATTAATCTAATGGTCCTTCTAGTGACTATCTCTGGTGGTACTGACTAGCAGAGGACATGAGGTGAATTTTCCGAGATGACTGGAGTTATTTATTATGATGTGGATGGTGACTACATGGGGATACACAATCTATCAAAAATGAAGAGCTGGAGGTATGGCTCGGTAGTTAAAAACACTGGCTGTTCTTGGGCAGGACCAGGGTTTGAGTCCTAGTTATCCAGCAACGCGGCAGCTCACAATGGCCTATAACTTCATTCCTAGGGGATCTGAGGCCCTCTTCTGGCCTCTGAGGGCACTGCATAAATACAGACAGGCAAGATACATAAAATAAAAATAAATAGATCTTTAAAAAACCCCATCCAACTGTACACTGAAGTTGGTTCACTTTATAGTATTCAGATTATATTAAAAAATCATATTGTGGAAAATTAAGTGGAAAAACAATCAAAGTGAGCATTTGTTTCTGGGAGGCAGGGAGAAAGGAATATGATTTAGGGAGGAGGGCGTTTATGCTTTATACTGTTGTCATTTATTACTTAAAAATAGATTTCCAAAGATTAAAAACTGTAAGGAGAAACAAACAGCTGTAAATTTGAGGCTAGCTGCAGAAGTAAGTGCCTGTCTAGCAAAAGCTGTACAATACAGAACAGAGAGGACCTCATACTCACAAGACAGAAATAGTGCACACAGAGACTGCCTTTCTGAAGAAATTCTCCTAGTTTCTCCGGATCACCAGGTTCTTGAAGGCATAGCAGGCAAACTGAAAGAATGAACATTAAGAATAAAGGATTGGAGCCATGCGGTGGTGGTGCAGGCCTTTAATCCCAGCACTTGGAAGGTAGAGGCAGGCGGATCTCTGTGAGTTCAAGACCAGCCTGGGCTACAGAGCGAGTGCCAGGATAGGCCCTAAAGTTGCACAGAGAAACCCTGTCTCAAAAAACAAACAAACAAACAAAAACAAAAGAAAAAAGAATAAAGGCTTGGCTCAGTTGATCATTAAGAAGAGAAAAGTGAGCCGGGCGGTGGTGGCGCACGCGCCTTTAATCCCAGCACTCGGGAGGCAGAGGCAGGCGGATCTCTGTGAGTTCGAGGCCGGGCTGGACCGACAGCCTCCTAAACAATACAGAGAAACCCTGTCTCGTAAAAACCAAAAAAAAAAAAAAAAAAAAAAAAAGAATAGAGAAGTGGGCTAGCCATCTAAGAACAGAGTCTCGAGGCTCCTTTACTTACCAAGGGGTTTTATTTAGATAAAGTCTCCATGAATGAAAACATGCTAATGTAGCCTATGGAACACCACAGTTTAGCAGCACAGTGTACTACAGGTAGTTGGCTGTTTGTGGGGCTTACTAGGAGCTGTGCTTGCTGTCACTGGCCAGCCCTGCAAGGTAATATTGTACTATGTATCATTAGCTTGGGAAAAGACAGAAACCCTAAATGTGAAGAACGGTGTCTACTTTTGCATCACCTTAATGCAAAATAAGTGAGAGAAAGCACTGTGGTCAGGAGCATCTTTACCAGGAGTGGGGTAATTCTGGCAAGGATAAAGGCTAACTCTTATTGGGTATCAGGCCTTGACATAATTTTGGTCACACTGGCAGAGTACGCTTCGACTAACATGTCATACTGTTTTGTTCTCAACTGGGTTTAATTACATTCTTTCTTGAACTTCGGATATGAAACTTTAAAACTACAGACACTGAATTCTTTAGGATCTGAATCCTAGGAGTATCTGGGAAAGAAGTAGGGATGACGATGAAGGAATCTAGTTTACTGTCCCACTGGGGTGGCCTTTTTTGCTAACGGCAACTGAACACCACCTCATCTCTCTTACCAGGGCCTGAAGATAGCTTCTTCTGGGTTACCTTCTTAGTCCTGGAAGTTTTTCTATATAAAGAAAAAAAAATGTGAGGATACTACTGACAAGCCTTCTGAATTTCCCTTAAAATGTCACTCATAATCTGATTAAGGTCCAAATTCTCTAAAGGCTTTTCATATTTCAATTTTTTTTTTTTTGGTTTTTCGAGACAGGGTTTCTCTGTGGCTTTGGAGGCTGTCCTGGAACTATCTCTTATAGACCAGGCTGGCCTCGAACTCACAGAGATCCGCCTGCCTCTGCCTCCCAAGTGCTGGGATTAAAGGCATGCGCCACCAACGCCCGGCTCATATTTCAATTTTAAAAGTACAAAATATACTAAATTATTTGAGGAGAGGATCATCTCAGTGCCTATGCTGCCTGGGTTGAATGAATCAAAGAGAAATCCTCCTTTTATTTTCTTCTGCCAATTACCCAAAGTACACTAAATGACATCAAGGTTGACTGTTTCCCAGTGCCAGGCACTGCATTTTTGGTACTTTATCATGATCAACAGATCTGCACAACACTCTGCAAAGGGAGTACTATTGAAACGCATGCTCTGAGATGAGTAAATCGAGGCACGAACCATTTGTGTTAGGTCTTGCAGTTATCAAGCAGCATAGGCGTGACAGAGATTTAAGCAGTAAAGACCCACAGTTGTCACTTTGCCACGGGGAGCAGCACTGGGAAGACAAGGAGGTCTACTTCGGGTGGTGGTGGGGGCGTTGTTGGTGTATGCTTTGATACTGTCTAACCATAGCGCCCCCTTCGCAAGAATACGCCAAAGGGAGCAGAAAAATGCAGCATGTATCGGCGGCCACTGTGATTTCCCCCAACTCTACCTCAATCTTGGATGTGCCTTCTTTTCTTTTATAGTCTTCATTCGCTTCCTTCTTTCCTTCCTATCTAGAAGTCTGTTGTACTATTTTGAAGACAGCACAGGCTCTCCCAGCTATAAACATAAACAAGGTAGATTAGCAATGTAATTTTACGTTTGGTTATCAAGGTCTACATGATCAAAGTGTACTTCTCAACTCACTCATTAAAGGGATATCTCCAACATTCATGCCAGTAACGATTAAACCGTGCCAAGAGCTGTTCTAGGCACTTATCACACACTCGGGCACACAATTATCACCCTTATTTTCAAGTTGAGGAGACTGAGGCACAGAAAGATAAAACATCTCGGTCAAGGTCAGAATCGGTGATCCAAGCTGAGCCTTGAAGCTAACAGAAGCTGACATCAACTCCCATGTTGGAACAGCGTAACACTGCAGTGTTAAGATGTTGGAACCACGGACTGACCTGGTTAAATGGCTTTTACTAAGTGCATGGGACAACACTCAAGAAAAATGCACCTGACGTGTGGGTGTCTTTTCTGCCCAATCAGACAAGGTAGCTCCTTCCTAGCTACTGAGAAACTTGGCAGCTTAAAAGCCGTAACTCCATCTGGCTGAGGGAGAAGTAACAAATCATCCCCTTAGCTCTCATCCTTTTAACCAGGTTCAGATGACTATTGAGGTTTGGCCTGTCCCATCCTTGTCTGGATGTCAACTAAGCAAACTGCCACTCCTGCTACCAATGTAAGCCGATTACAAAGTTGCTGGCCGTTACAAAGTCTTCAGAAGTGAACTGAGGCTGAGGAAGGGGTGGCGGGGCCACCTCATGAAGGGCTATGTCTAGTAAGGCAAAGGAGGGCCACGTTTCTTAAGAGAGCTCAGTGAATGAGGTCGCTCCAGAGACATACTACTACACTTCAGTACCCGGGGCCTCAGGTCAAGCCTGGGGATTACGAATATTTCCAGCCGTGGAAACGTCAGTTTAAGTTTTCCCAGCACAGGAGATGCAGTTCCAGGATTGGTTTGACTTTTTACTAAACGTGGGGGCGGGCTGGGGGTGAGATGTTGCGTCTCTGTGACGTTTGCCATTTCCCTACGAGATCTACCCTAACCACTTCGCAGTTGTGGTCGGCGCTAAACCCAACCGTGGCAGAATGGTAACGAAACCTTGAGACTTCAGTCCTTTGCATCGCTGGACCACGACGTGACTCGAGCTGGATGGAGTCTGTGCACACTTGGTAGCTTTTAGAAGGTGGGGCTAGTCTTCCAGAAAACAGTAGAGGACAGACGTGGAAAAAACACAAGCTGCTCAAGTCCGTGACACTTCCTACACCGGCGGATGCTCGCTCAAAAAAAAAAAAAAAACACAAAACAAAACAAAAACAAAAAAAGAGAAAAAATAGAAAAAAAAAGAAAAACCCCTCTTACCACGTTGTTTTAACCCGTATAAAAAGTGTTGGGTGGATGCTTGCTGAGGAAACTAAAAATACAGTGCCGTGTTCGGCCCCGCCGCCGCGAGCATACGCGATTTATTTGGGGAACACGTGTCGGTGTGGCCACAACCGTCCCCCCGGAGGGGCTCCGGGAGCATTCCGCGGATGCCAGACTCGGCTCAGGGCACGCCTGCCGGGCAGCCGGTGCGGGGCCAGGCTGCAGTCGGCTTCCGCCTCCCGCTGCTCCTCACGGAAACTACGAGCCGCCGCCGCCGCCGCCGCCGCGGGCGACGCCGTCCCGGGGGCTTTTATTCGTTGACACAAGCCGTGGCCGCTACTACGAGGGGCGGCCGCCCCGCGCGGGTGACTGCGCGGACGACGGAGGCGAGCGCGCTGACCCAGGGGGAGCGCGGGCCACGCGGGCCGTGCGGACCCCGCAGTCGTCACAACGAGAGCCGCTGACGGCGGCGTGCTGACGGCCGCGCGCCCGCGCTCGGCCCCGGGCCTCGGGGCGCGCTCGCGCTCGCGCGCGCGTGCGCGGTGGCGGGCGGAAGGCCGGCTCGATCCGTCGCGCGATGATGACGTCCGCCCCCGGCGCGGGCTGGTGACGCGACGCGGCGGCGGCCCGTTGTCTGTGTGTGTCTGTGTCTGTGTGTGTGTGTGTGAGTGCGTGCGTGCGTGCGTGTGGGGGCTCGGCAGCCCCGAGGGCGGTGGGCGCTGCCCTTGGGAGCGGCGCGGGGTTGGCCGGGCCTGGACATGGCGCTGAGGGGCCGCCCCGCGGGAAGATGAATAAGGGCTGGCTGGAGCTGGAGAGTGACCCGGGTACGGAGAGGGGGGTGGGGGAGGGCGGCCCGGCGGGCCCTGGGGGCTGGGGAGGCCGCAGGGGCCCCCGGACGCGCCTGCCTGACAGTCCCCCCTCCTCCTCTTGTCCTTCCACCCAGGCCTCTTCACCCTCCTGGTGGAAGATTTCGGTAAGAGCCGCCCCTGCCCGCTGGGACCTGGCTGTTGGGGGGTGTGTGTGTGTATGTGTGTGTGTGTTGCCCGCTGGGACCTGGCTATTAGGGGAGCGTGTGTGTGTGTGTGTGTGTGTGTGTGTGTGTGTCTGTGGTGGGGCTTCCTGAGTTCCGGCGGCAGAGCCCTGCCGATTTCTCCTTTCCTGGTCGTAGGTGTCAAAGGGGTGCAAGTGGAGGAAATCTATGATCTTCAGAGTAAATGCCAGGGGTGAGTGGCGGGGCCCTGACCTCCCCGAGGGCTGGGGAAGGGCAGGGGAATGGTTCCCCTTCAGGGGAGGCAGTATTGGAAAACAAAGTTGTGTAAAATGTCACACAAGAAAGCTGCTCTGGGTCGGGCGTTGGTGGTGCACGCCTTTAACCCCAGCACTCGGGAGGCAGAGGCAGGCGGATCTCTGTTTTCGAGGCCAGCCTGGTCTACCGAGTGAATTCCAGGACAGCCTCCAGGACAATACAGACAAACCCTGTCTCGAAAAACCACAGACACACACACACACACACACAAAAGCACATCTTTTAACCCTCACTTCTTGGAGTACAGTTCAGCTGCCTCTTCTGGTTTTGTAGCAGGAAGCCTCTGGTTGCACAGTGCCCTTTTTTTATAAGTGAACAATCCATTCACTGCATAACCGCACGTGTGCACTGTGCCTGTAATCGTCACAAAGAATTTGTCCTGACCAGGAGTGGTGGCGCGTTCCTTTAATCCCGGGGCTTGGAAGGCAGAGGCAGGCAGATCTCTTGAGTTTGAGGCCAGTGTAAGCTACGTCATGAGACCGTGTCTCAACAGAACTAAACAGAGTTGTCCTATATTGATTGGTTGGTGTGACAAGACCCTTTTCAGGTACCTAGACTCTCTGGTGATCTGTGAGACAGAGGAACCAGCTAACTAACGGTGATGATCCAAGAAGTGTGCTTTCATTTCCTAGAAGTGCAGGGGCTGGCTCAGGCGGTCGTGGGCTTCCCTAGTTTTGGGGCTTGGGGCTGAGGTCCACAAGGGAGAGCTGGTACTCAACGCCTCATCAATGTTTTTGCACCTTGCACTGTGTTTCCGCCTTGCTCCGTGGTGGGCCGCCAGTTCCAGATGTCCTCCTCCTCCCCTCTTGCCCAGACTTCCATTCCAACCCCAAGTGAGGTTTCAGAGCATCAGGCTCACCCTTGACTGCATGTGATAGGGTTCTGGGTGTGAGGTGTCCGAGCCGTGTGGGCTGCAGACTTGGTGAGGGTGAGGGGCCCAGAGCAAAGGAAAAGGGGGAGGAAGAAGGGGACCGCCGATTACCATCTGCCTCTTCCTCCTCTAGGCCTGTGTATGGATTTATCTTTCTCTTCAAGTGGATCGAAGAACGCAGGTCCCGCCGCAAGGTTTCTACGTTGGTGGATGACACGTCCGTGATTGATGATGATATTGTGAATAACATGTTCTTTGCCCACCAGGTCTGCTGAGTTCTGAGCTTGTTTGAAGGGCCGGATGCTGTTCGTTTGTTCCCGGTTGTTACTGGTTTTGCATGGGCAGTGACAGTGGGGGGAGCAGGAAGGAGAGAGAGACCAGTACCAAGAGTGGTTGTTACAGAAGCCGCACGGCAGACAGAACCTAGCTCCTTTTCATTAAAGGGATACCTTTAGAGTAGGGGGGGTCTCGTAGGATATTCTCCATGTCCCTAGATACGTGGTTCTTATTTGGTCTGTGTTTTATGAGTAAATACTGAGCAAGACAAAGGAGGCTGATGAGTGTTGTTGACATCTTTTCTTCAGTCTTCTCCGCGAAGCTTGGGGAAGCTTGAGGTAAAGGTGTGTGAGGGTTGTGTGAATGACTAACTTCGATTTACAGCTGATTCCCAACTCCTGTGCCACTCATGCCTTGCTGAGCGTGCTTCTGAACTGCAGCAATGTGGATCTGGGGCCCACCCTGAGCCGAATGAAGGATTTCACCAAAGGCTTCAGTCCAGAGGTATGCTGTCCTGCCTTAACTTACCCATGGCTCACAGCTGGCTGGGCACATCTGACCCTCAGAGATGTTGGTAATGCCACCAAAAAAAAAAATAAATAAAGGAAAGGAGATGACCAAAGTAGAGAAGGAACAGATTTTTTTTTTTTTTTGGTTTTTCGAGACAAGGTTTCTCTGTATTGTTTTGGAGGCTGTCCTGGAACTTGCTCGGTAGACCAGGCTGGCCTTGAACTCACAGAGATCCGCCTGTCTCTGCCTCCCGAGTGCTGGGATTAAAGGCGTGTGCCACCAACGCCCGGCTGACAAGGAAGAGATTTAAGTCACCTATGTCAGAACTTTTTGTAGCAAGCTGTGTTGCTCCCTGGTAGTCAGTAACTGCGCAAAGCCAGTGTGGCCCCTCCCTTTGGGAGGTCTTATGCTCTCATCTGCCACGACTAGCCCTTTAGGAAGTGACCTGTACTGATGATATTCCTGGAATGCCTCTAAGCCCTTACCTAGAAGCTCACCTAAGAATCTGTTCTTATTTTCCCCTTAGAGCAAAGGCTATGCAATTGGCAATGCTCCTGAGCTGGCTAAGGCACACAATAGCCATGCCAGGTAGGTGAGAGCTGTGCTCGCTGGTGGGGGGTAGGGGCAGTGGAGGATGGTTCTGACTTTGTCCTTCTCCAGGCCGGAGCCACGTCACCTCCCTGAGAAGCAGAATGGCCTCAGTGCAGTGCGGACCATGGAGGCGTTCCACTTTGTCAGCTACGTGCCCATCACAGGGCGGCTCTTCGAGTTGGACGGGTTGAAAGTCTACCCTATTGATCATGGTAGGCACCTTGAGAAAGGTCTGCTGGGTTTCTCATGCTTCCCTCTGCTTCTCTGGGTCTCAGGGCCCTTGGCTCTTGCGGTTGGGTACCAAAGACATCTGACTCTGGCCATGATCTCATCTTGCACCGAGTTATGTGACAAGCTTATACCTGGCTCAGCCACAGTAATCTGTTTTCCTTCTTACCCCTGGCCACCCCATCTCAGGGTTTCCCACCTGCTGACTCCTCATGTGTTCTCCCTCAGGGCCCTGGGGGGAGGATGAGGAGTGGACAGATAAAGCCCGGCGGGTCATCATGGAACGAATCGGCCTTGCTACTGCAGGGTAAGGACCCTCAGTTTGCCTGTTGTACCTCCTGGAACTGTGTCCCCTTTGGGAGGGAAAGAGATAAACCAGATGATCTGTACATTGTAAGGCACATTGTGTGTCTGGCAAGATCAGGCTTGGGTCTTGGGCTTCCTGCCTGGACTGCCTATGACCTGCTGGGCTAGAGGAGGGCCAAGCCTTTGGGTAGCAGAGAGGCCTGGGTGGCACAGGTGTGCTGGCTCACTCCCTGACAGGCACCTCATGTAGTTCATGGAAAGGTACAGCTCAGGGCTCTGGGTGTGTGACTGGCTGCTGCCTGCCTATGGTGCGGGGCCTGTGCCTAGAGCTACAAGGCACTTTGCTCAGCCTGGCAGCAGGGCTGGGGTGGGAACTGCCCTGACAGCTGTCACTGTGATTTCAGGGAGCCGTACCATGACATCCGCTTCAACCTGATGGCTGTGGTGCCTGACCGCAGGATTAAGTATGAGGCCAGGCTGCATGTGTTGAAGGTGAACCGACAAACGGTCCTGGAGGCCCTGCAGCAGGTAAGTGGGCCTCTGCCTGGCCATGCCAACCCAGCCATCCCTGTCTCTCCCACACTGTAGCATCTGTCTCTAATTCCAAAATCACAGTGTCTTGTAGGTCCAGGTTTAACTGAACATTTCTTTCCTTTGCTTCCTTTGTAGGGTTGGCAAAACTTAGGGTGGGAAGCTTCTAAAGAGAAGTTATGGCTTGGCCTTTTTATCTTCCAGTAAATAAATGAATGAGTGGGTCAAGGCCCTTGGTTGTCTAACATGGAGT